GGGAGGGGGGTGGAAACCCCGTTCAACGGAGACGAACATGGACAGCCAAGATACGCGGCGTCTTTGTTTGTCCGACAGGCAATGAAATTCTTTCTGGTCCGTCGACGATCCCTTCTTTGTCGTCACTTTGATCTTGATCATTGTCTTGAATGCGGGCTTTGTCGCGGGCCTTTCTCTGTCGAGAATCATGAAAGGTATGTATGTAGATGCCATGCCGTTCTTGTCATGGGCTGTCCCCGATCAAACTGATGACCAAGACCTCCAGTTTGCCCTCAGTCGATCACTTCCCAATTGACTCGTCATCATCACTGTCGCTCTTCGTCCGTCCAGTCCCAGGAGACCGCTTGAGTGGAGAGGCTGTTGTGCGGTAGAAAGGCACAAGTCTAGCCTTGTGCCGAGTATTGAGCCTTCTATGGGAGTAACCCGCACTCTCTTGGCGGGGCCGTGACGCTTCATCCGGAAACAACTTGGACGTGGTTGGCGTCTGCTTGCACCATGTTATGTCCAATCCGCATACAGGCATCCTCATGGCTCGAAAGGTGGGTTATAATGCACATTGACGCGCGAATTAGAAATAACGTCGTCTCATCCAGAGGGTTTCCAAAGGTAAAGGACGGCAGGAAACGGAGAATACAGCCAGCCAAGAAGCCACAGATGAGCGAGTGAATCCAGGGCGCATTTTATGAGAGCCTCATCACCTAAACCGATCGACCGATATCCCTACCTACCCCTTTCAAGACGAGAACAAGCCTGCAGAAGTTCGGCGAGACAGGATGAGAAGCTCAGAGACATAGGACAAAAGTGCTGGGATGGTCATGAATGCTGGATCGAGGCCCGTCTACCTCGAGCCTGAGATTACTCTTCACGTGAAGCCGCATCAATTAGACAGTATGAGGAGCACGTGGCGCGAAGTCATCGAAGCTCCAGACAGGCAGGGCATTATCCTGGCGCACGAGATGGGAATGGGCAAAGACGTTTCAGTTGATTCTTCTGCTCGTCGCCATCTGTCGTTGCAATCGGAGCGATGACGCAAGCATACGGGAACACATTCCTCTGCATTTACGGCAGATCAAGGAACTGATCCTCGCTCCCGGCAGTCTGGTCAACAATTGGGTGGAGGAGTTCTCGAAATGGGTCCGCAACCACGCCGTTCTCGGTGGTCTCTACCATGTTGTTGACTCTGAGACTTCGTTGAAGATACAACAGTGGGATCAGGCGGGCGGGGTGCTACTGCTCAGCCACAGGAGACTCACGCTTCTGACAAACGAAGGTAACAAGATGGGAGGCTCCGAAGTTGCCAGGGTTGCCGAGTATTCCTGTCTTCCGAGCCGGCTACATAAAGCCGATCATGCAAGGTCTCCAACCCGACAGTACGCCATCCCAGCAGAGACGCAGCGTACGAATGTTGAGGAGCTTTGAACAAATCATTTCACCCAAGACAGAGAGGGCAACCATCAATGACACGGCCACGGGTCTTCCTCCCAAGACTGGATTTCTTGTCACAGTACCGCTTACCGAACCGCAAAAGAGGCTATACGACATATACGCGGTATCTACGCCGACCGGAGCAAAATGGTGGGTTCTGCTGTCGGTTTGAAGCTTGATCAACCAGCACCAATCATGTTTGCACAGTAAATTCGGGGAAGAGCAGGAGACCAGTTTCGCTGGAGATGTCACACCCGGAGAGGACCCGGTCTACACCGATGAGGAAGTCGAGACGTTCTGTGACCTCGAAGACATTCCTGATGATATAGAGATCGGCGCGATCAGCCAGCTGCAGGTGTCTCGCGAAGTGCGTTATATCTTATACACGCCCGCCCTCCTTGGTGTTCGACAATGACCACTCATCTCCTTGGTCGATGAAAAACAACTAACTAGCTCCAAGTCGAAAGGGACGATGGTGAAAGCGCCAAACTGTACACTACCACCATCCTCTGTCCTAAACACGATTCGAATGTGGGCGCTACAAGTCCGCCAATATTAATGGCAACGACCGTGGATCTCCCCAACCTTCCAATGCGAAGAAGAATGTTAGCTGACCAGAGAGGAAGCCAACATGGATTCCTACTTTGAGTCCGACAGCGAAGATGACAGTAACGAGGATTTTTGCGTGGAAGATAAAGAGAAGTCTATTGAAATAGAGGGTTTAAGCCGTGGTAGAGGAAGGTAGTGGGGATCAGCCCGTGACAAGTACTAGAAGATCGGAGCTGAGTACAGTAGATAGTTCGCCGGGGCAATGCACCTAATCTGATTAGTCAGAAGATCAGGAAAATTTGCCCTGCGAAGAATCTGTCCTTCGCGTTTGAAAGAGCTTTCCAGGGGGCCGTTTTTAAATGTGGAAGTACACAGTGTGATTTATGGCCATCTTAATTAGTGCCCGGCCCTTGCCGCGTCTTAGTGTCGGGGTCGGACCCGCGCCATGTCGCAGCCTCGGACTAGTTTAAGAATACCATCAATCAGAGCCGAGACAATCGAAGAGGCGCGCGCAACAGATATATTTCAATTAGTCTACATCCCCCGTTTTGTTCCTCCACCCTCCTTACTCCCTCATACCTCATCCATGTCGGATGACCAGATTCCAGATACTGGTCACAGCTCACGCCCGATCATTTCAACTGCACTCTTCTTGTCCACGCTCGTTTTGCTGGTTGAAAGTCGATCACGACGCTGGCGAGCGGCGTTGTTGACCACCCTCGGTATTCACATCCCACTTTGACACTTGTACTCCAATTACTAAAGTAGGTATCTTGTGTCGTGCTGACATACATTCAAGGTCCACGCATCGGCGTCTCACACCTTTGCCCTTGGGCATACATTACGGAACCACTGTTTCTATCTATCTCATCATTTCATGGAGGCTTGGTTTTCTTCAGTGCCGCTTCCAATGCCCCAGTGCGATCTCTGATTCATGGTCGCACAGACCTCCTTTTTGGCCTAATTCGCAGCCGTTCAGCCTTTTGTGACTACAGTATCAGCTCGCTAAGGAGCAGCACAGTTCGTACTCGAGTATCATGGCGTGAATGGACTTCAGGAGTCCCTTGTCAAAGACCGCTCCGTTCCTGTCAAAGCGGTAGTGTCCGCCATTTGCTGTTTTCCACAGGTGGCATTTCCGGTCGAGCAGGTGACAGATAAACTATTTCCTTGGGTACGCTGTGGCAAGGACTTTGATCATGCTTCGGAAGGCTGGAGATCGAGGGCGGTGGGAAGAGCTAGTACATCAACTCGGGCTTTTGCACTTGGTGCTGGGGTTCTCGCTACTCATCATGGTGGTACTGCGGACGACCATGTTCTTGTGCATGTTGACGAACGTGTTCAGGTCTGCATGCATGGTGTCAAGAAGACGAATATCACCGAGTGCTTGGTTGGGCTTTCGAGACGCTGGAGAACAACTAGCTGCTCACGCACATGCAGGTGATCTGGAAGAAGATCAAATGCCAACCCCAGTATGTGCACGGGTTCGTGAGCACACGCTACGTGCCGAACCTTGTCGAGGTGGGTAATGACTGGATAGCATCAACAGCTCGATCAGCACCATACTCGAGGCGAGTGGCATGGGGTGAATCAGGTAGACTGATACTCGTACAAGGGTATCACTGATGGTTGCGTAGGAATATAGTAGTTTAACTGTACATTTACGAGACTCACGCCAAGTAGAGTCATTAATCCTGGGGATGTGAAGGGCACACAGCTAATTCTGGACGTTTTTTAGTTTTTATTTTGTGATTTCCCAGACTTGAAGCCTATCCCCTCTGGGGGGGAAAAAAATAAACAATATCAAAAATAATCCCTGTCACCCCTCTGCTGACCTCCTACCCCCCTCCTGCCCCCTTACCTTCTTCCGTACAAGCAAAAAAACTCCTCTCAGGAGAAAACTGTAGCCCGTAGTGCAGTGGACACAGTTTTTTTTTCCCGGACTCTAGGAGCCCTTCTCCTATCGCGCAGCGGAACTCCCTCCTGCTCGTCCTCCTCCTCTTTCTTCCTCCGTGAGCGCTCAACCCCATAATATACCCTCCCCCGTCTCTCGCTTTGAGCCTTGATTTGTCGTTGTTGTTGTTGTAACAATGCGGACTGCAGTCATCAATTCCTAGTGAGTGAGTAAGGCCAAGAAGAAGCTCATACATCACCACCATGAGTGGAAATTTATAAACCAAGGGTAGTTCGAGATTCGAACCCTCAACTTTGGTGATTATAGATTGATGCAGACCTGATCCGGCAATTGTTGGAGGATATTTCGCTGTTGTAACTGATATCACTTGAAAAAGAAAAGTGGGGATGTGTGTGATGGAAGGGAAGGAAGTGAAGGTGTAGCGAACAGAGTGAATAGGACGGAACGGGCGGGGCTGAATATATACTCCTGGCAAGGCTGCTATCCGCCGTGAACATGTCAAAGTAGTTTCCGTGACTGACACGTTGATCCTGGTTACGTGATCTTGGGGACGGGCATTCCCTACCTCTTGCTTGACTACTAACCCCACCACACTCATATGCCCGAACGCTATGGTGAACCACATATTGAGCGACGCCGCCTTTATATCCATGGACAGCCTCGTGCTTTTGTCCAACATCATATTGATGCGCGTGAACAGCAAGACGTACTACACTGGCAACATCAACTTTAAGAAGGATGAACTCTTTTAACGTCATGAGGACGGACCGTTCAGGAACATCGATCCCGACCACGGCGAGACGGTATCCGCTGACGACCTCAAGCCGATGATCAGCTGCGAGGCGGCGGTCCACTTTCTGCACAGGTACGAAGACCTCTTCACGCTCACGCAGCTACTCATGCACACAAAACCGCTGGTTGATCATCTACAGGTAAAGGAGCGTCACCGTCTCCATGAGCCGCACCAAGTACGCCATCACCAACGGCTGCGGACACATCCGTTCGCTCACGTCCAGACACTGCGGCGAAAACCATGACGACAACCCGGGCAGCACCACGGTCTGCTTCGAGGACACGAACGACTCCACTACCGAGACTGCCAGCGTGTACATGGGATGAGACTTCTGTAAAAGGGATGCAAGGCCGTATCCATGAGCTGTATGTGCTGCACGTGCGGGTCCAGGACGGTCGACGGGTTCTACCACACGACGCTGGGCATGCTCGCCCACGAGAGGCCAAATGGGAAGGTACGCGCGTTATATGACAGGTGTGTGTGCCTGGGTGGGTGGTGGTCCATCGTCAGGAAGCTCGCCATAAGCAAGACGAACAGCGTTGACATATACACGTATGCTATGCCGATACCGATACAAATACGAATAGCACGACGTTCACCGATGACAATCACAGGGTGTACCTGGGCGTGAGCCCGTCCCTAGTGAAATGATACTCGAGCGCAGCAGCAGAGCTATGGCCGAGGACGTGATAGACCTTATAGAGCTGGCCGAGACCCTCTACGAGTACGCCAATAATAGCACATCACATCAGCTCTAGTCACACAAACTCGTGTCTGTCATTTTGGTCAATTACCATTCAACTGATCCTCCATCGCGCCAGATGCATTTTCGACCAGGATCGACGAAACCACCCAGAAAGGTTTTCGAGCATTGCACTTAGGGAACCAAATCTTCATGATAAGCCTGGATCTCAAAAGGTCGACTTCCGTTGAACCCTTTAGCATTCAATCAGACTTCGAGATACACCATGTGTGGCCGGTTTGCACATATTTCCAGGCATCTCTGCGGAGCAAGCACACGCCTTTCTCGCATTAGCTTTACATTTGCGCCTGCGAGAACGCCCGTTGCAACGATGCAGATACGGATCATGAAAAACGAGAACTTGGGGATGGTCCGACGACATTTTCTAGCTGACGCGTGAGGCAACCCCTGAAGCAAAGCTAAAGCCAAGTGCTCGCCCCGTCGTTGAACAATGGGCCTTCTCAACCGGCAGAGCAGTGAGTGCAATAGCTCACCAAGCTAGGATAGAGATGAATAGCAAGGGCTTTGGCTTCTGTTTCGCTTTCTTTGCCAACCCGGACGAGGGAGACCTTGAACGGCGGTATCGGAGATGAACAACAAGATTGTCAACGGCGGCGAGCCGTTGTACGTTGCACTCGCTCAGGTAGCGCGTAGGCACTTCCAGTGACTAGCTAAGCTCTTTGGCAAGATAAAGCGCTTCGGCTTCCTCTACTTACGTAATGCGGATGAAGATTCGAAGGCGGGTCTCGGAGATGGAACCGGAAGATCGTCAACGGCAAGCAGAAGCCGTCGTATGTTGCCCTTTATCATGCAGCGCTGAGGTCACGCGCAACGATCGGTCTACTTGCGACAGCAAGGAGGGAGGTCGAAAGCGACGGACACTTCCAGCAGACCAGCAGATCTGATTCATGTGGCAGAAGGCGCAAGGGATGAGTTTGAGAGGTTTCCCTTTTTAGGAAGAAAGATTACCGGATTAGGAAATAGATGAAATTCTTTGTGACCCAACAAACAACATTTCTGAAAATTGCAAATGGACAGGAATCTCAGCCTGACGTGTGATATGCAGCCTTGCTTAGTTATCAAGTATGGTGAAGCGTCAAATGCACTTTCTACGGCGGAGCATACATGTGGTCCAGGCTGTGTAGGTGACGTGAGGATCTTTCAATTACATCAAACGAAAAGGAGACTCCAGCAGACTGGCAAGAACATGCCTAGCAAGAAGACGAGTACGCAGCAGCCGATGCTCCTGAGCAGCCTCCAAATACCTCCTCTTTGCCTCAACGGCCTGAGTCAAGGCCTTCCGACTGATAAAGCATGACTTTGGGGGTTGTTGGACGGGACGATGTCGGTCCTCCGTTTTGTCAAACCGATCTCTGAATCCTGATACATGTCCATTCGATCCTCCAGACGCACCCTCTTCGTCCTTTGTTTCAGTGGAAGCACGGTATCCTTGAGAAAGAAACATACAAGGGTCTCAAAGATAGAGTATCGATCTTTGTAATTGAACGGTCTCGGAACCTCGGCCACATCAATACATATTGGAGAAAACTCTTGTACCAAGAGAAAACAAAGGACTCCACGTCCTTGTGGGTTGCCTATGGAAATGTTCAGTTCGAGGCCTGCGGGACCCGTTCATCGTTGCATTCTTTCAGTCCGTATGTATCACAACAGGAGCCAGAGACCAACTGCAGCGTCACAAGGCACAGACATCAGTATTGCCTATACCCGAGCTTAGTCCCGTGTGCAGCTGAAAACTCAGAAGTGGCGGTCGCGTCTGGCAGGTATTTCTTTGCTCCGGGATCTCTGGCTGCCGTTGGAGCTTCTCGAGCTTCGGGCCTTTTCGACGTTGAGTTGTCTCGATTCGACGGTCGGCATCTCCTCTCACCGCCATGACCGTCTAGTCGGACCTGCACGCTGGGGTGCGCCAGGCTGTGTGTGCCTGGACCGAATATATCAATCGCTACTGATCTTACAGTGCCACCTACAGCCCAAGCTGCCGGTAGCAAGGCGGAAAATGTCACTGGTCGAGAGGTACGAACATTGCCGTCGAAATGGGAAGAGATAGGTAGACAGCCGGCTACCGATCTGTATTTTTTCTGGTCGCTTTACCTGATCGGAACGTCCTCTCACGGCCTTAGTAGCTCACACATCAGGGCCTTTTATGCCACGTTAAAGCCGAATCGGAACGCTCTGTGAGTCAGACGGAGAAATCTTTGGACTTTGGTTTCGCCGTTCCTTCTTGCACCTGCAAGTACAGAATGCACCGTTCAGTTTTCGGTGTTGTGTCTGAACACCAGCGTATGACATGGCTGGGTGAAACCGGCGGTTGCACTCACCGTCAAATCCATTTGAGCGCCATGAGTGCGCACTCAAGGCTGTCTGTAACATATCGTCGCGTGTCCACCTACGCTTCCCCATTCTCTTCCCTCTTCTGTAGAACTCAAACCCTAACCATTCATGCACGTGCATCGTTTCCCTACCCACTTCCTCCTTTTCTCGAGACGTGACGGGCACCCGGGCCCCGAAGCAAGAGGTAGCCTCCTGATAGAATATGGATTTTGGGCGGGAGCAGAGCCTGGCAACGGCTGCTGGGCATATCGCGACCAACGGTTCGCGCAAAACAGATGTCATGGCCAGCAGAGGCAGTGATAGGCAAGCTGAGCAACGAGGTAACAAGAACGTACGTGGACAAGGGCAAAGCCGGACGGGCAGGTCCAGGGGTCAGATCCGAGGGTGGTATCTTTTGGGCGAGCAGGCATGCAGGCGGATGTGTGTACCCAGGTGCTCAGCCACGAAAGGCGGGCGTAGCGGGCTTGCTAGCAACGAGTATTATCAGCAAGGGAGCACTCCCCGGGCTGGGTAACGTCATGAACTGGAGACGGCGACGGGTACTGTTGACAAAAGAGCATCTCAGGAGGACGGGTCCCGAGGTCGATGCATTAGGCCTCGCTTTCAATGCAAATAGCGAGCTGTCCACAGGTGGGATGCTTAATTCCGGGCATCTCCTGCCAACTATATATCCGTTGGCAACAATTCGAGACACCCTCAGCAAGGAAGTCATGTTTCGGCTTCACCGGAAAGGCTGAAGCGCCGGCTTTCGTGCCATTTCTTATAGAAATTTGTTCCCGCTACCTATGAAACCCTTCTCCTATGCTAGTCTCCGACCTCATAAAGCCCCTTGGTTGTCTACCTGTCCCACATCATCCATTCTTTCCCGCAGCCCTTAACTTCACGTGCAAGCTTGGCCCCGACGTACCGCTGTCGTCTAGCATTTGAGGAGCCGTCGACACTTCTTAGACTTTTCTTCCGTTCTGGTCCCCTCCTTGCCTCTGTTTTCACGCGCTTGCTCCATGCTTGCATCTGCTTCTAGATCGCTCCCGTTTTCTGCTGCTTAGGGATCAACATCCGCCATGCTTCTGGCTTGCTATGGCCAGGGAGAGGCAATTCAGCTGCCGAAATCCTTCACAGCGTCTGACTGGTGAGCTCCCACTAATTGATATTCCTACCCACCCTCTCCCCGACCAGATTTCGCTTGGGAAGAACACTGCCCCGCTCAAGCCGTCGCCATCTGAAGGGCTCACCTTGGACACAAATCCAGTTGTCTCTATGCTCTTCTCCGTACCTCAACCCCCCTTCTCTCATCGAAATTTGCTGCGCACGCGATAATATACTCTCCTTGCCAAGTCACAGACTCCCCCCGGACTCGTACTGTCTCCGAAAACCGAACTGATCCAGCGCAACAAGAAGCGAAAGTCTTTGTCGCCAAGGTTTACATACAAAGACGTCAAACATGCCAAGTATAAGCACGTGTCTACCAGGTCTAGCTTACATACTTCACCGTAAAAACTGCACTTGATGGTCGACCCTACTTGATAACTAAGCAAGGCTACATGTCACATGTCAGGCTGACATTTCTGTCCATTTGCCATTTTCAGAAATGTTGTTTGTCGGGTCACAAAATCTCCATCTATTTCCTAATCTGATAACTTTCCTTCCCGAAACAGAAAACTGTCGGCAACACTGCACTCGCGAACTGCGCACCCCTCGCTTCTTTTCTCCCAATCTGACGTGGCCGATTATGGGGGCTTTGGAGGACAAGGTCGAGCATCCGCGGTCATCCGGGATCCACAGGTGGGCTCGACTTCGTCGACATTCGCGATTGTCCATTGTGTAGTGCAATAAAGCGCGACGGCCTCAGGAAACACATCGTACACAAGTCCTGTGCATGGGAGTTGGATACAGTCACTGTCGCGGATGATGATGGGTCAGAATCCATACATGGATGACTGAATGGTCATCGGAATTCTCAACGAGGGTATAAGGTCGGGGTGCATGTCCCCACTCCTGCTCAACAGCAATGTGTCAGACAGACGGCCTCTGTCCATCGAGTCCCTACTCAATACTCCCCGCAAGACGCCCCTTCCACTCCGCTTCAGTTACGACCTCGATGACGGCCTCCAAGTCCCTGCTCAATATTCGCTTGTAGACCTCCCTTTCCACCACTTCCTCCTAATCCTGCAATTTTATCGAGTCACGGAGTCCTTCATAACAGTCTACACAGGATCAGTGTTGCCTTGCAGGTGGACGAAACGGGAAAACTGCTATCAATTGACCGTCACGGTAACCTCCATACACATTTGTCGAGACCAGAAGGCCCAGGCTAGTATTCTTGGCCATCGAGACCTTGCCCCTTTCTAACGCTATCACAGTGATACACTGCAATCGGGTAGCACTTGAATATAAATAAGTCACCAAATCCGACATTCAAGGTCACAATGGTACTTGGTTCCAAGCTCCACCTGGATGCCGCCATGAATGATGGGGGCGTTTTTGTCTACAACACGTACGATGGTATCTTAAGGGACAAGCGAGATAAACCCATTCACAGTTCCCGCTTCTTTTCCATCGATGGCGACTTTCGTTTGGTCGACTGTTACAATAATCGCCATCCAGACCCACACTGTAGCGACCGGTTTACAGTCCAGCCAATTGAGGGGGACTCAGTCCGTTCCAAACCTGGTCTACGTCGAGGGTCAACCGAAAGGAAGTGGCAATTATATCTGGCCGAGCCGGGTCCAATATCGGATTGGAAAACTCCCTGGACGTCCCCCTCAATTTGGCCTGAATTTGTCTACGGACCAGACCCAACAGCCTACAGACTCGGTTAATGTGCCGGGGTCCTCCCAGCAGCCTCATTGGACGTGTCCCCTACTGACAGTTCGATACAATGAGCGTCCCTTCGCAGCGGAAGAAGCGCACAACAAGTAATACCTCCGGAGTCCTCCCATCGGACAACTCTGATATGTCTGGAATCACCAACAGCCATCTGTGGGAGCTCGCGGAAAAGGTATTCGGTGGTCCTCACCAACGCCAACGAGTATTTCAGTCGGCTTTTGCGAACAATTATCCCCTCCTGACGGACAACTGGCCAAATTCAGTTGCGTAAGAATGATATGGGTATGGATATGGACATGAGACATGAAAACAGCGTGAAGCATGGTGGACAAGGCATACGTGTAGCATCCCTAGATATGGAATCAAAATACATTGACATCGACCTGGCTCCTGATTTCTGCAAAAATGCTTTTATTTGTGGCCCCTGTATTTCATGGCGTGTTTTCTTGTTCTGAGTCTGTGGGCCACGGGACAAGAGGAAGAGGATGCAGATCTGGGCATGAGGACGGAGAGGGAGATGAAGAGGGTGTTTCTTCTTTCACCTCCTTCTGCGGGAGACTACAATCGGAAGCCCTCCTGTATGTACGACATCACCAGCCGCGTTATTAACATGTGATTCGTGACCCTCTCCTTCTCTCTTTCCTCCCCTTCCCCTTCTCTTTCTCTCTCAATACGCTATCATTCTTCTTCCTTTCCCTCCCGGACCGCGCCTCGATGCTAACCACACTATCGGCTTCTCCGTCGCTTCGTACTTTTCTTGGGCGAGTCGTGTGAGCACCTGACTGCCAGTACTTCGGCTATTTGTTGATTGCGTCAAGGAGCTTTTCAACGAGCGACTTTGGGGACGGAGAGACACAAGAGAGTACAGAGAGAAGACGAAGACACACACAAGAGAGTGCACCTCGATCTGACCGCTACAACCAACTGCTACACATTTATTGGTAATCCAAAGCCCCCTGTGCTCGATCCCATCACAACTGACAGAAATATGGTAGGCATCTCGGCCGCCCCAAATCAAGCTATCAGCGGCAACAGCAGCGACGAACACCCCTAAACTCAATGGCCCCTTCAACTTTAAAGGTGGTGGCAGCCGCTGTTGCAGCCAATCATTTCATGACGACGGCCGTCAACACCTTCAACTGCCACGGGGCCGGTGAGGGTGGCGGACGATTTGTCCGATGGTAAAACTGCTACGGTGGTCAAAGCCCTTGCGCAGCCAGCTGGTACGTATGGATTGGTGCGTACGGAGAGGAAGGAGGAAAACAAACTAGACAGGAGAGGCGAAAAGGGGAACAAAACTGAACTCTCGTGCAAGGTTTTCCAGAGCTTTGTGTGGTCTGCGAGACAGACTATGCCAGAGTATTCCTCCGTCACAAGAGACGTAACCGGCAAAAGGCTGCCCTTGTCTCCGTCGCCGGCACTATCGCAAAGGGTCAAGTCCCTAGCGGAGTGGCAGCCATCCATTCTACAGAACAAAACAACCTCCTGCCTCAACTGCAAGTGTCTGTACCTTTGCTCGGGACGAACACACATAAACGATCCGATCAGTGGATCAACATTTGATTCATCAGGCTTTGGGTCAACGCAGAAGAAATCTGCCGCTTAGAGTATCAAGGAGATCTGGTCAGGTTTCCTCCCCATCTACCCAGCCTTCTCAATCTAGCTCAACATAGAGACGGTCCTCACAGTCTGCAATGAGAGAGCCATCTTCAACTTTTGGATAACCTTGGTTGGGGGGGGGGGGGGGGGGGTGTCCTTGCTTCAAAAACCACAAAGCTTACGGCATATGGATACGTCGACATTGGCTGTTGCACCAAGAAGGTGCAGAGACGGGGCACGATTGAGATATGGGGATCATTACAGGAAAGTGCCATAAGGGCAGATGGGCCCTTCACAAAGTCCCTTTTTTGCCCTGGGCCGGACCTTGGACGAGACCTTGGGCGATTTTATTCAATCACAACTCGACCTGGGTTCGGACGTTGAGGGATCCAGTGCGCCAGGACAGGATGGGGGCAATGGCTGGCGATTTTCCAGGTGATGTACAGACACGGGAACGAGACAGGCAAGGACTCAAACGGCCATATACAGACAAAACAATCCATGGCATTGCCTATCAACTGCTGGTAGAACAGTTTTTCCATCTCCTATCTATCCTCTCTTCTGGCCGACGTCTTTTTGCCTTTCCCCTTCCCTTCTCTCCTTGTGTACCTGTGTCGTTTCCCTCTCCTACTGACCCAATCCTTTTTACCCTCTGTGTTGTTCTCGCTTCCCCCCCTCTTCCTTCTGTGTTGCATAGCTGCAAAAGCGCTGTTGACTGCTATACCTGATCCACAGAAGGTGTTGACAACGCAGCGAGTGTCGGTCGAGCTCTGTAATTGCAGTTGTAAATGTCGAGGATGGATCAGGTTTCAACGCTCTCCGGGGGTGAGTTGGGCGGCTTGGTGTATCATGCGTGTCTTGTCGAGAGCAGTCATGAATAAGGCACCAAGCAAGGCAAGGTAGGGCAGAATGCAAGCGGCCCTGGACTTGGGCACACCTTGGGTCCCATTTCCCTGCACGGGGCCGAAGGGGCTCGGCTTCAACAAATGCAAGCGAGGAGATGGCGACACAAGAAAGAGTATTTACCGACCCTTGCCTGAATCATCTACTAGAAGCAAGCCTCGCTTCGTCATTCCTGTGGCCCCGGGCGGAGCAATGGTACTATGCACTATGTATTCTAGCTTCGTCACCCGCTGGCGGTACTTGGCCGTTGTTCCCTGCGGATAGCTAAAAGACATTTTAAAGTTGTAGCTTTTGAGCGCTGAAGGGATTCTTTTCTATTTCCGAGCCATGTGTGTGTGATATCCAATGCCCTCTGACACGGGTTCCGCCGTGGATAGTGAAGACGATACTATCCGACGAGGTCGAAACATATGACGAGGTCTGGAACTATGCTGACGAAGGGTAAAACTAACTTGTTGACCCAGGAAGAATTTTGCTCCATCGTGGCGACGGCCGTATCAGCTCATCACCATCAGATGTGAGTAGCTTCTTCACCAAACGAAGCTCAAAGTGTGCGCTTCCCTCTACCAGGAGGCTGGCTTGTTGCGTGCTTGACGATGCTCAGCCGCGCGCACACCTACGCCTGTCTCTCTGATGCTCAGTTTGACAAGAGCTGCATGTTGGAAGTGATGCAGACTGCAGCAGCTGGCACCGACGATGACAGCGCGACCGCCACCACCACCACTACGCCGAGATGCACGCATGACGCTGGTTTATTCCCGTTTGACGTGGTGGACGAAACCGCGAGTGCAGTGTTGCCAAGAACTTTTCTGTTTTGGGTAGGACAATTACCGAATTAGGCAATACCGGAAGAATTTTGTGACCTGACAAACAACGTTTCTGAAATTTCGCAATGGAGAGGAATTTCAGCCTGCCATGTGACATGCGGCCTCGCTTAGTTATCAAGTAGGGTGGACCGTCAAGTGCTGTTTTTACGGCAGAACATGTAAGTCAATCTTGATAGTCAGTGCTTCTACGGGCATATTCGACATGTTTGATAGAAGGTCTTGGGACTCTTTGTCTTCCTGTTGTGCTGGATTGATTCAGTTTTGTATGCTGATTGCATCGATTCGATCGTATTGCCTTGCGGTATCCGTAGAACCAAGCCGAGACTGAGAAGAACGGGCAGGCGTGGAGGGCACCATACCATGCTCGAGTGGTGTTGGCATCTGCGGGGCGAAGGAAGTGCATGGTCAACGAGCTGAGCTGTGTCCTCTGCCTTCGTGAAGACCTTGACGCGAGGACCGGCCGCAGATACAGGGGAATTGATCGACTTTCGAGGATTGTGAAGCTGTTGGCTGAAGAGCTGTGGCGAAGATCGTAGGAAGACCTCTGAGAGCGCAGGTGTGGAGAGAGAACACCCACGGAGAGAGGATTCGTAGAGCAAGAGATGGAACCGCCCATTAGGAGGGAGAAAAGCACGTTGTGCCGAGGGCCCGCAATCTCTTGCACCGATTATGCGGAACACGAGAAGCAGGCAGGCAGGGAATTGGCGCATGATTCTCCATCGTTCATCAAAACAGCGACAGTATCCTGCAGTAACGGATGGCATTGTGAAAAGAACCCGGCGGCTAATTGTCTGTGTTTTCTCGCATAAGAAGGGCAAAAGCATTCGAGCTTTTCGACGTCGCAGTGTTGCTGCCATAGCAATGCTTCTAGCCCAACGGAACAGGATTCTTGGTCCCATGTGACCAAGAGAACGTGCTTAACCTCAGTTCCACTTACGTCTCCAATCACATCATTGGTCCGAGTCTGCTGCATGGTCTGTGTAATACCTAGAATGCAGGCGTAAGGCAGAACTGCGCGAATCCGTGGGTGGGTGAATGTACGCACAGTGGAAGAAGTTGGAGCGCAACTCCAGAGAAGGACGAAGAGTTCAGGCTCTGCTAGACGATGCTGTGCTGATGTCAGGGTGATTTTGCCAGACCAACGGAGGCTGTGACCACAGACGTAGCGGATGAGCTTTGGAGAACATTCCCATGCCGGTGAAATGATACATTTGAGCGCTACAGACTCGTACTTAGTAGTGACAGACGTCCAGCCCATCGAGGCGGCAGGTTTGACCAGTTTATCGAGAAGCCAGAGGGCCTCTGAACAGCCTCAAATCGTTTTGAACTCGGAAATTAAGGAAAGAGGGATGCTGGGCCTGGAGGCTGGACTTTGGACGTGGAGTTTGTTGGAATTCTATGAAGGTTGAACGCGAAAGTCGTCATCGAGGAAGCGGAATACATCTGAAAAGTCTCCTAACAGCCAGGCAGAGGAGAGAAGCACAGCCCAAGCTTGGAGTTCGCTTGTGGTTCATGAGAGTTGAACACCGCAGACTGTCACCAAGGAATCGCGATTCATCTATATGGCCCCCTTCTCGGTTTCGGAAATTGCCCTGATCCGAAGGGTTGACAACGGCGAAGCCGACGGAGGGAGGAAACGCCTGCCCAGGATTTGGAGTTTGTTTGTTTGTGCTTCACGAGACCGGGACGCCGCCGACAGTCAGTGAAGAATATGAACGACCTCTGTTTGATGCCAGGAAGTAGGCGGAAGGAGGAAACGCCTAGCTCTGGCGAGGCGTGGGGATGGTCTGTGTTTGAACGGAATGAAGTCTCTTCCATTCCGGCAGATGAAGAGGGAGATGGAGGCAGAAATGGAATGCCTGGCCAGAACAAGGAGTTACTTTCGGTCTCAAGGCGGTTAAACACCAATGGTTGACATCGACACGGACCTCGTTCTGGCGAACCCTTCTGACGTTGGCAAGGCGTGCCCAAAGCCAACAACACCTTGTGACAGCTGATTCAGCCATAGGTACTACCCTGCAGCCATCATCCAATGGCCGTCAGCAACCCGGGAAGAATGATCGATGCTGCCATGGCAACACCACTCAGAATGGGCGTGAATATAAAAGAAGCCCAGGGACAGACGGCGTCTTGACCGGTTCCAGTCCGGGTGTTAAAGCGGAGTGCAGCCAGGCAATGGAGGCCGTCCGGACAGCTGGTTGGGGTAGTGTATAGTCCGAGCATATTCCTCGTGTTATATTAGTGCGGTTGCTTTTCCAAGTATCAAATGCAGATTTCGAGGAATATTCTCTCGCGGTCTATCGGCTGGTTGGGCGATGGGCTATGAGCCCGTGTATTCATCATGCTGCTGTCTTGGGAAAACAACTACCTATGGCACTGCTGCTTAAATCTTGCCAAAATGTAATTAACGCGGTCTTTTGAGCACAATTACTCCATTCCTTGTCTTCGTTATCGGGGATCGACATGATAACTTGAATTTGATGCGGCTGGATCCCCGGCTTCTTGTTATTAAATGGCTCAGGCGTACTTTTGGGGAAGTGGATTAAATGGCTGGGTTAAAATATCCTCCCGGGCTGCCATTGACATTGCAAGTACCGCGAGTGCAAATATCCAGGATGAAGGGCATACACTGCTCGACTAGAGGCTGATGTTTAGGGCCTTGCCAACTGGTGATGGTGGCCCGCACTCTTATGGCCTGCATTGTCCATGCCACCCGTGGCTACATGGGAAACTTGATGGGAACTTGACGTGAACTTTGACACGGGTGGTGCATTGACTAAGTGTCTTGGCCTATTAGCCTCTTGGCATCTTGGCACTGGTACTGCTACTCGTGTTCTGTGTCGACCCGGGGGCGGAGTATAAATAATCCAGTGGAAGGCGCACGTCCGGAGTAACAAAATTCCGGGGAACTCCACGGATTTCGGAGTAACTATAATCCATCCACCAAGCCCACGCTACATCCCCTGGAGCCAAGCTATTCCCGTAAAGGCAATCATGACTACTAGAGTCGAGTTGGCGTTGGAACCATGTGGGGCATGGCTGGCTTGGCTTTCTGGTCCGCAACGAAAACGGCAAAGACCGCCCCGAACAAAAGTCCTCAAGCACCTCATAGGTTCCATCATCACAACCGCCTTGTTCGCTTGTTTTGTCGTATCTGGGCCGCCAACCACACCCTCTACCACGTTCATGCTGTTCACAGCAAACTTCTACCACTTGTTGGTTCCCAATAGCAAGCCTGCCTCATGCATGGATCATGGCGCCCCGTGTGCTTCTTCCTTTCCATTTTTCTGTGTGGACAGAAGGTGTGGGTGGGACGGGCAAGCAAGAAGACTTACTTAAACCCTCCAGTAAACCTCGCCTCTCAGGTCCTGCTCTTACACCCCGATTAAACGCATACTTCCCCGACCGACCCATACCGGCTCTTTTCCACCTAATCATAGTCTGTTCGGACCGCCTGTCCTTCTCCTCTTTGAGTATCACTTGCTGCTTTTCGCGTCTATTCCGCCCTACCCATGGCTGAGACTCCGAGACGTCGTTCAACGCTAGTCGCCGTTGTCATTCCCCCACCCACGGTGGAGACTCCGACACGTCGTTCGGGCCAGAGGGCCGCCGTTGACACTCCAACGAATCATACAAGCCAAAGGGCCGCCCTCCAGACTCCGACACGTCGGCTATTCCGAAAGGAGATCGCCCTATTGCCCTCCACAACTACCTCTCAGTCAATTGGGGTGGCCAGTGGAGAGACTAACGTCGTTGCCTCAACCCCGGCTGACAATCCGCCACGCAGTTCAGTGGGATGGTCTTCCTTTGCCGAACCACCCCGGGCTGATAATCCAAGACGAGTTCCAGAGGCGGGCACTTCCTTTGCCGAGCCACCCCAGCGTATCTACCTGATACGTGATTCACACCAAGGGACCGACTTCGCTTCTCCTCCACCAGCTGACAGTCCGGCCACGCGTGCGGTGCGAGGGGAAATAACAGCCCGTGGTGTTGGCAGAGGAGCCGCCTTCGCCAGTCCCACCCCGACTGATAATCAGACACGTGGTGTTGGCAGAGGGTCCTCCTTCGCTAATCCAACCCGGGCCAACAATATGACACGTGGTTTAGGCAGGGCGGCTTTCCTCGCAAAACCACCCCAGGCCAACGACTCGAAATATGGTTCGCGCTTGGCAATACGCAGCAAACACGTCACTTTCTGGCATATACCGAGGAACGGTACGTTCAGCCACTGTGCTAACGTGTGACCAACACTGACCTCTGGCAATAGATCGCAAGAGACGCCAGACCGAGGATGATACCTCCTCGGTGGAGTTCATATGCAGCAAGAAGGTGAAAAGGGATGCCAAGAGCGCCGAAAAGGGCCCTGGCCCGCCGTCGTCATCCATTAACACCGGTCCATCTGCTCAATCTCGTCTGTCTCCTCGAACTTGTCCGTCGATCCAGGCTGGTCCGCCAACTGATGCTGGCCTGTCTCGTCCGTCTACTCAGTCTGACCCGTCCACTCGCCCTGCTCTTGCTACTCTGTCCGCTTCAGCTGGCCTGCCGCGACGACCCATCCAGGAGTCGGGGATGGTACGGGACATCACCAGGACATTTGAAGCCAGAGTGACTTTGGCGGAGAAAGTGGCCCTGAAGGCGAGGAGGGAACAGAATGAGGACGTAGACGCATGGGAACGCGACAAGAGGACACTGGAGGCCCAGAAGACCCGCCTCGAAGGGCAGGTGAAGCGACTCCGCGTGTACAACGAGCTTGGGTCCCAGGCAATGTTGGTCGCGGGCGCGATGGAAAGTCTCATCCTCGACCAGCGAGACCAACTGTTCCGATTGACCGGAGACGAAGAATTTCGAAAGTTCCCCGAGGAGAGAGAGCAGCTGCGTCGGCTCCGCAAGAGATACGCACGGGCGGACGGGGATTATGACGAGCCCACGGACGGCAATCCAAACTGGCATGAGGCCTGGAGGATCCGGGGAGGCCGCAAGGACCCGGAGGCTCGTCAGATGGAGGGGGGGTCTCCAATTCTCTTGTCTCCATCGAGCACAGCGGCCTCCTCCCCTGCCAATCTGTGGCCGCCGCGGCGGGGTGATTCATCTACCCCGGTTCATCCAGGCATAGATAACGGCGAGGAGGATGTTGATGCCTGGTAGGCGGTGCATCGGGTCTGGTGGAAGGATCTGATGGTTTTGGAGGAGGCCTTCCAGATCAAGAGGGAGCACAGTGACGAGGATCAAGGGGCGATAGAGGCTGAGGAGGCCGCGGAGGGTAATGGCGTGAGGGTGCTCGGAGGGCTCAGAGTCAGGGTGGTCAGTGGGGTCCTGGTGGACGCGGAAACCCTGAGATATGGCCCATTGATTGACTGAAGCAGTAGGCTTGGTTGACTTTGACGACGTGTTGGTGGCGGCGATGGTCGGCAAGGCACTTGTCTGTTTCCAAGAGTGTCAGTTCCCCTAGAGATTTGTATGATAGATCTCAGCAGCCCGAGTGATTGGCACTCGCATCATGGTCCGAGGTTTTCTGCCCGCTCAGTCCATCCTCTTCCCACGGATGATATCAAGGGCACAAATCGCTCCAATTAGACTTCGTGCGAAGTGCGACGCTGGCATTCGAGCATTCGGCATTCAAGAACAGGGCCGGACAGGGCAGCTCGCCAACCTTCGGAATGTGGTGAGTTGGGATTGAGATGATCATAGATACTGTACACATTATCCGACTTTGACGGCGCAGGCCGTCCAGCTATCTCGCGCGACAAACAAAACTTCATCTTCTCGGAGCTTCATCTCGGAGCTCGATGTTCTCCGAGTTCACGGTTCTCGCTGTGGCTGGGACAGATGATCATGATCCACCACTTGTTCGGGTTCAATGGCAGTCATGCGCGACGTCTAAGGCATTATCTCACGTGACGGGCTGAACTGGCCTCGGCTCGATTTGGACAAGGCAGTGGCTGATGAGTTTGCATGGCACTATGAATTCAATCTAGCGTGCACATCAGTGGTAACCGATCTTGCGAGAGGTCATTTGTCCCATGCCAGCGTGCCAGCGTGCCAGCATGACGGCAGCCAACTCAGTGCAGTCGAGTTGAACACAGTGAGATCCGTGCCTCCCATACTGGATTTCTCATGATGATTGGTCAAGAGACCTCTCTCGTTTTTCCTGCATTGACCTCAGTAAGTCTCACACACCACACAGAGTCAAGGGTCCTAGTGGCTCCAATAGGGGACCATCCCGACTACTGGCACTGAGGATGGATGGTTCGGTAAGAAGCCCCGTGAGGCTCACCTGAGTCGCTCGTCGGGTGTCCCACCCCGAAACCTTGCCGTAAAGGCCATCAATCTTTCTCGGGGAGCATTCCAGCTCCTGGGCATTACTTGCTGCGTCATGGTACTATTTCAGAGCTGCCGGGCTAGCCCACAACCAACGAGACTCTGGACCGTCAAAGACTCTCCCTCCACGAGCCACACGTCCTTGCTGCGATCGGAGGCTTTCCGCGGAACCAGCCCCGACGACATGAAATGACGACCGAACCTTTGCTGATCATGACGTGGTGTCTCCGTGCAGACTAATCATGATGACCCGTCAACCCGTGGACCCATCAGGCGCGGGGTGAGGACTCGCTTGTCCCCGGGATCCGCGCGGTACTTTTCTTTGTCGGTCAATGAAAAGTCAGGTTTGGGCCTAGCGTGCGTACCCAAATCGGATTGCTAGGCTTGGCATAGTTGCTGGGTTGGCCCACATAGACGAGCAATCCCTCGGCGCCAAGAAATTATCTGCCACCCACACCCGATTTCTCCGACCCGCTGTCTTCGGTAATTCTATAATCCGAAGCACGTGCCCAGAACGCGGATCAACCATAATCCGTCCACCTTCATCCGTCCACCTACTGACGGTGCAGCTTTTGACACTGCACCCACGGTGAGTGTCATTCACAGCGGTCTCACACCTATGTGACAGCAACGAACGTCAAGACTGCACATGATCACTCAAGCACAATAATGCTCGTTGTTCAACACATCTCACCAACTTGTTCATCAATTGTCCGCCACCACATTATTCCGCCAGATTATTTCTGGCCTGCAGCACGCCAGTGCCACCGACTTCTGGCTGTTGTGTGTTCCCTTCTTCCCTTGATCTTCTCGACATACAACGTCTCCAGAAAATGAGACTACTACCTCGCAAATGACTCCTCCCCAGGGGGTCATCTGGGCAACTGGTCTCACATCGGCGCCCGTTTCCTTCTTCTCGTGATCCACCAGTCAAACACCGAGTCGAGATAATGAGACTGAAGCCAATTGCGGAGGGAGGTCGCCTGGGGAAGAACTATATACAGACGGCACACTGGGGCCAGTTTCCTTCTTCCTGAGACTGACGCCCGCGGACTGCTCTTGGCCAAGGGGTCTCACTCTGCCTGTGTTACCAACGATGACCTCAAGAGCCGCTTCACTCTTGTCTTCTTGCTCCCTCCGTCACAGAATCCAGCGCAACTCGCCTCTGCTGGAGGACAGGCCAGAAAACAGAAAGTGGTAGTGGGGTTCCCTACCTGCAAACCAGGCCCAACTTATCCGAGACAGGCGTTTCAGCCTCACTTACATCGTGAAGGATACTATTCTCAGTGCCTCATTGCACATTCAAGAGTCGGAAAACAGACAATGGCAGTAGGTGGTGCCTCCTTATCGGGCAGCTCACGTTCAGACACCATATTGTGACCTGTTCACTCAGATACTTACGCCGTAAGACGTAAACGTATAGGTAGCTTTATAAAGCCTTAGATAATCTAGTGTTTAGAACTAGCTAATTATTATAGTGTAAAGAGGCACGTTCGGTAGCGTATGTCGGTTACTGCGGTCGTCTCCGAGGGATCTCCACGGAGGTCATCTACTGCTCGTACGTACGAGCAAAGGCTACTTATATATACGAGCATACTCTAGTTGTATATACGAGCATACCCTAGTCGCATATACAAGTAAAGGCTACTCGTACATACGAGTATACTCTAGTCGTATATACAAGTAAAGGCTACTCGTATATGCAAGCACACCCTAGTCGTACGTACGAGTAAAGGCTACTCGTATGTACGAGCATACTCTAGTCGTGTATACGAGCAAAGGCTACTCGTACGTACGAGCATACTCTACTCGTACCCTACAACTATCCTCCTCGTACCTTACATTGCCCTCTAGACTCTGGAAAATTTACATTATGTTGGCAATTGGAATTCCATAACTGTATGAATTTGGATTTTATGTGTAAAAGAAGGGTGACCTACAAGGCCGCAGGTCCAAGTCCAAGCAAGCTACGTCCACAAGGCTATATCGACGACGCTGTGTCACCGAGACTGAAAGCCAGTCCACGAGTCCACAACTCACCATTACCACTTGAACTGTGTTGGTGAGCCCACCAAGTCGACATCCGCAGTGGCGGCATCTACGTCAAACGTGGTGTTCACGTCGGCGACAACGCTGGCTAACGCTCTGCTCTCGTTCTTCTCCATCTCTACCACGTGTATCCACTCCGCGGACGGACAGATTCATCCATGATCATGACAACTTAACAAGGCCATGGACCAGACGTATCCTCGGGTAGTACTCACCCCCATTAACTAGGAAAGGGCCCTGACAAGTACCCGAGCTCTATGGCTTGCGGACCGAACTTGACAGGGAGATGCCTGACGAAGGCAATCAAGGACCACATGAACGAGCTGTATCTTCACCCTTGTCAGCAGGACCTGCTTCACGCGTATGGGCCACGGATGCGGCGGACGACGGGGTTCATGGAGCCTACAGCAATGGCATCAACTCTGAAGTCATGGAGAGGTTTGCCGCACTTCAGATCACGACGACGCCGTGGCAACTACCTCGATCTCCGTTCACTCGACAGAACCTCCCATCCCCCTTAACCGAATCGATCGGCTTCTCACACCACTCCAGCCAGTTCAAGACGTGCTGTTGGACGACCGCAACGCTGGTACGTGATTGTCGTTGTCTGGACGCGCTGTGCGGGGTGTCGAAAAGCCTTTAGCTTTTGTTCCTTTGACGAGCTCGCACATACGCTGCAGGGTGTTTTCCATCGTCAACGTATGTTTGTGACTCTGCGCCGGCCTTCGTCGTCGGTACTCTGGACTACCACCATCGTCAATCACCCTGACAGATGGCTGCGCGCACGTACCGCCACTGGGGTGCCACTCCGCGTTCATCTAAACGTGCCTCCATGGCTGTGCGCTGAACTATCATTCTTTTTCTGCATGTGGGCCATTGTAGGACTGTGCCACATCGTTGGTAGACCGGGGTGTTGTCCTGATCTTCACACTTTCTCAAAAACAATCCTCCGTGATGGGTGTATTGATCAGGCTGTCCTTTCTCCAAGCCTGTGACCTCGTGCGTAACGATGCTGATCTTTGGTCCGTAGCCATGAGTCCGCGGCACACCGCATCGGATGGATTACAGAAGCTCCCCATCGACGGGCATGTTGGAGACCAAGCGTGCAAGTCAAGGCGGTCGGACGGGCCAGACTGGCACAAATACCTCTTGGTCCGCGCCGCATGCACCGGCTCCGGAGTTTCGATTACTCCGTACTCCGTGCTCTCGGCATACTGCTTAGGTGCCGGATTAATTACTCCACGTACATTTTCCGGATTATTCATACTCCGGACCCGCGCACTACCTGGCCACAACCCCGCACCGCTGAGCATCTCCAACTTCAAAACACGTGATATGATGCCGCTCAACAGCATCGATTTCCCACCATGTCCGCACCCTCGACCACATTGAGGTCGTCCAAGAACTGGCCGTCTCGCAGCATCAGAGGGCCGAGCTCAGTCTTGATGAGTAGTACAGTGATAGCAGCAGGTGATAACAACACAATATCATTTCGAAAGTACATGCACAGATAACTTGACACCAACATCACCATGGCCACCAACATCAACGTCAGCATCAATACATGCTCTATCGTCCTCATTACTCATCAAGAACAATAACTTCCGCTGCCCTTGCCGACCCGACCTGTTTTTGGTTTTGGAGAATGAGTTTCCTGAGTACAGGACCCATGCCGTTTTGGATGCGTGCGCCGATGACCCGCTGCAGCTCCTCCACTACCTCGTTGGCGCGATCCTCCAGCGAGAGGTCCACGTGCTGCTGACCGAGTCTTAGGTCATGGACCACCTTCTCCATGGTGATGGCGACCTTGAGCGCCGCGTCCTTGTGCTCGGTGGCCCGAATCCAGCCCCTCGGTGCTGTTTGCCTGTCGCAACGTCTCCTTGTCCAGCCGCTGGATGGCAGCATGAAGATGCCCCGTAGCGGCCTTCATACTCTCCGACTCCTTGTCAAGCCGCTCGATGGCAGCGTCCATCCGGCCCGTCGTGGCATTCTTTTCCCGTGACTCGTTGTCCAGGCGATCTATCGCGGCGTACATGCTCTCTGTCGCCCTGTCCTTGTCCCTCGTCGCCCCGTCAATGCGCTCCGTCGCAGCGTCCAAGCGGTGTATCGCGGCGTTCATTCGCACCGTCGCCTCGTCGTTTCTCTGTATCGATTGCTGTGCCAGTTCGTTGGCCCGCAACGCGTCCTGCCACGCCCTGTTCGCGGCCGCCTTGGTCACGCTAGACTGGAACCGGATGAGACGGGTCACCATCTTGATCCAGCGCACTTGCTCAATCGTCGGGCCCGGGCCAAGCGGGGCGTCGCCAACCTCCTCCCTCGCCTCGTTGTCAAAATCCACCGGCACCTCGGTCGGCACCTCCATGTGGGGTCCATTGGGGTCCACTCCGTACAGAGTTGGTGTCAGGACATCTCTTTCATCCGGGACGTTGAACGATGGAGGAAAATCATTCCATGAGAGGGGCGTGTCCCTCGTCTCGCCCTGGCCATCATCGGCGTTTGACCACGGTGTCGGCGTCGGCCTGCGCATCTCTTTGACCTTGTTAAACAATAGGTCTCGGGCCATAGCCTGGGGAACTGGGGTCTGGGGCTCGTCTCCAGCGCGATCCGCGTCCTGTGAAGGGAGCCTCTCCTGGCCGTGGGTATCTTGCCGCGATGATGGGCCCGGGTCCCCGTCTGCGTACGGCGAAGCAAGCCTCCTCATCAAACGGACCGCGGCTCGGGTACTCGAAGGGTCCGCCGGGTCTACGGTCTCGTCGTTGTTGTCCGCATAGGGGGATGGGATAGGCTGCCACGGGGGCATGGGTTGGGGGCATGATGGGCTCGCGGGATCTTCGGCCTCCTCCTCTTCCTTGACGTCGACGTCATCTGCGCTGTGCGGGGGCAGTCTCCTCCAGTCGACGGTGTCTTGATCATCCAGACCCATCTCCAACTTCACCTCAACACTGCTGGCTATTACCAGAGGTCAGTATTTGGTTGTGGCAAGGGGCGATAGTCCAAACTGAGCGTACCTCTCTCGACATCACCTCCTTGCGTCGAGGCTCGAGTCGGAATGTTAGCGACGGGGGACGAAGTGCGTGTTGGGGTGTGAGCCATGGGGACGACGACAGGTTTCGATAAGGAACAGCGGTCCTATGCCTTTGCTTTGATCGGGATGGTGAGAAGGTAGACAGGCGGCGTTACTAAGAGCGTAGGTATACCACAAGAGAGAGGAAGCGAGCATAATATTCCAGATGGCCGATCGGGACTGATTGGGGGTTTTGTATTTTCTCGTCGCCGTCCGAGAGGGGCTTTTGGGCTAACAGACAACAGGGAAATAAAGGGGCGTTTGGTCCCTCCATCAACATGGACATTCTTCTCTATTGGGAAACCAGACATTGAGGCAACGGGAGAGAAGGCGAGGAACATTGTGGAAACGAATGAAACCCTTGTGTCAATGCCTCCACCACGTCGATCTTTGCCCGTTTTGGTGTAGCCAAGCCTTCCACGCGCAACGTTGGCTGGTTACTCTAACGTCTTGTTTCGCGCTATCCAGCTTTGGCTGACAATGATTGGTCACACTAGCTGTCACTATGCGTTGTAGTTTTACGTTTCTCCCTCCGCACCAGTCATGACTGAGCGGTTTCATGCACTGTGCAAGCCATGCCCCACAGTGACAGGTTGCTTTGACCTGTCACTCAGCGCGGGTTTGGCTGTTTCTGGTGTCTCCGCCCGGTTTCGTCATCGCCACATAGTCTCGGATTCTGTACTAGGCTCCCTCGTATTCGGGACCTTCAGCAGACAAGGCGCCATTGCTGCCTGCTGCCCTCTCAATCATCAGGCATCCTGGTCAGGACGGTGAGGAAGAGGGTAAGACAAACAGGGAGGCCTTGCTGCAAAAGGCGACCAAAGGGCGACCAAGTCACGCGAGATAACGCCGTCAAGTGGCATGCATTATATCTCTTTGTATGCTCCCTCTCCCTCTCACTTGCTCGGATTCTGCCCTTCTCATGATTTTTTCACCACGACTCTCACAGTTCACGAACCAGATTGGCTTTTCTGTTTGATTCACCTCCTGACCCAATATTCTGTCGACGTTGCTTCCTTCACTTGAGACTCTACCATGGGTGGTGGTCTCGATGACTGTGTGGTCCCCTGGTGGATCGAACATTCCGGCACATCAGAAGATGCAGCTGCAGAGTACGTCAAGATTTGATTGATCAGCTCTTGCGCGGCGTCGAGACCGTCCAGAAGAAAGTCGAAGAGAAGGAGGCACAAGCGAGAGCGAAAGCAGAGAAGGAGGCTCTCGAAGTCGCCGCCACCCAGCAAAACTCGGCCCAGGACGCCAGTCTGTCCACTGAAGAACCCCCAGCCTCTGACGAGGACGCCGACGTCGAGATGAGGCCGCTCAATGACAAGGACCAGTACAAAAAGGTCGGCAACGAATGGTGGGTGCGGATCTACTTGGGTCGACGGATTCCTCGTCTCAACGCCGAGTAGTATGCGGCTCTCGCTACTATCCACGGCATATGTTTGCGCGAATACTACGACTTTTTCATGACCTCGTAGCACCCCATGGCGTCACCAGCGCTCCGCAGGACCGCGGAAAAGTATGCGATGCTGGCAAGAGTGTGGAGGCACGGCATACGCTTGTGTCTCGAGGTCCTGCGCCATCGACTCCCCTAATCTCGTGATATCATTGAGGAGTTCATCACCCTGGCATATGGTATGATGTCTGTGCTGGATGAGACTGTCCCGCGGTTCTGGCCTCTCTGGGTCGAATACAAAGCCGACATAGCACGATAAGGGTAAGTAGAAGTCACCACCCCTGCTACGTCCACCAAGATACTGATGCCTGCCGCGTAGAATGGTCATCGAAGACAAGGACATGAAAGCCAAAAAGCGCTGGAGGGACACTGCCAACGAGGGGTACACCCGGGTCCTGGTCCATGACCCGACCGTTGGCCGCATCTACCATCACATGGCTGTTTTGGTGCAGCCCCGGTCCGTGTGGCCCCTGTCAATGTTCGAGGTCAATGCGTCCAAGCTCTTCTACTGCACCAAGTCCCTCGTCGTCAAGACCCCGTTTTACCCCACGCGGAACTCCGTGCTGACCGTTGTCCAACCGATTCTTCACCGGTACAAGAAGGCAGCCCAGAAGCCGATCGTCTTGCCCCTGATCGACGAAGACCACTTCCTTGCTGTTGTCGTCCACCTGATTCTTTCTTCCCTGGAGCCCGAGACTCTGAGGGAAAACGGTTATTAGGACAGCAAGAAGAACCATCTTCAGGCTATCTATGCGGCGCTGGAGAAGATCAAGGTCGGATGCCTTGTAAATACGGGCAGGATTCGTCCAAGGTACGTCACATGCTTGGCCCCTTCGCGTGGAGCGAGTTACACGTGTCGTCTTTCTGACTGACCAATTTTATAGTGCCCAACTGGGCCTCTTACTCTGCCAGTTGGTCCTGGTAATGCCTCTTGCCGACGGGGACGATGAAGCGTCTGTCACGACTGGTGATGATCCATCGAGTGCGTGCCTCGCTCGTGTCGAGTGACTGGGACTCAGAGTTCCTCCAGGACTTCTGACAAGGGCCCCTTGCTACAGGAAGGCCCAACGTACCATGAGTTGCCCCGTCATGGGTACGCATCACACAGGCAAAGCGCTGGTAGGGTGGCATTGCATCTGCACCCCAAAACACGCGAGACAATGTCGGCTCAACGGCGTTGAATCAGCTGATCTGAAAAATTAAGACTTCAACTGCAGGTTCTCGTCTCCGAAGTCAAGATTTCTTGGTCCTTTCTAAAGCTCGTGGCTGTGAGGAGGAGGAGAAGGAGATAACGTCCTCGGACCTCTTTTCGTTCTTGTTCCGCACCGCCCATTGCCCCCGTTGGCACCTGGACCGGTCGTGGAGAAAGCAGTGTCCGACAGCCTGAAGAAGCAAAGGCGCAGAAGTGGGCGCTGATGGAAAGGAAGGCCGGAAGTTTCTGGTACCTCATTCGACTCCCTCTGGTGGCTTCATGGAACGAATATATAAGTCTCTGCACTCTCTGGACAAGAGGTAAATGCAATACAAGAGCGCCCTGTCAGGGCGCGAAGGTGCAAGTGTGATGACTTTATTGGTTGATTTGGTAGGAAGGAAGGAAATCTTGTCAGGTACAATACAATCTGTCATGTATATCTCAGATGGGTTGATCCAATCAAAAACGTATACGATCAGGAGAAACTCCAAGGAAAAGCGAACAAAATGAAACGATACTCTTAGTCCACGTCCATATCCACGTCGTCGCCACTCTCTTCTCCACTCCCGCTTTCCGAACTTGCGACGTCGCTCTCGTCGTCGGGTATATCAGCCTTTATCTCATGCCGAAACCAATCCCACCTTAGCTCGTCGAGCTGCGTTGCGTAGCAAATGGTGTCGATCTCGGACGTGTGGGTCGCCGCCGCGATACCCTCACCCATGGCCTGGAACAGGCGGTGCCAGGACTGGGGGTCTTCGGCGAGGGCCGGAATCTTCTGACGCAGGTAGTACAGACACAAACGCTCCAACTCGCGCCCGTTACGGCTGTAAGTTTCAAATATGGAAGGATTGAGTTCGCAAACTCGTTGACCACCCCCGACGGACTCGAGGTCTGGGACTCCTTCTAGACGCAGGAGGCCGGAGAGGCAAGCGCCAAAGGGAAGGGTCATGAGTGGCGGGGCCCCCCAGAGTAGCATGCCGGCGATGCCTGACCAGTCGGGCCGGACAATGATGTTATTCATGTCGAGGAGAGGGTTGTGCGGCACCATAGGCCAGTCCTCCCCATTGTCGAGGCTGTGGCCACGACCATCGCCTGTCAGCGGTAGCGGCTCGCATACAAAGTCAACAAATTGTTTCATGATGGCGAGGTACTTGTCCTGATTGAGCCGCAGACCGAGCCGGTGGATGTCAGCCGCGATGGGGCGCCCAGCGGGGGCTACGATCCGCCACACAACCAGCTCCTCTTGATGTTGGTGTGCCAGACCCATGCGCCCAACGTAGGTGTACAGCGGGACGAAGTCGCTGTACGCCTCTCTGGCCTGGGCGAGTTGGCCCTCGTCTAGCGTCTTAGGCGTGATGTAGAACAGCGTCATCAGGGTCGGGGTGGAGACGGTGGGATCTATGATCTCGACCATGTAGCTGTCGGGGAACTGGAACTCGGAGGGGTACGCGTGCACGTCAATTGGCCGCTTCCCGGTCGCGAATTCGATATCCTCTCCTAGGTATTTCTTGAGGCAGTAGTCTTCGCACTTGGTACGGTTGAGGTGCGGGCGGTGATGGAAGAAGTCAACTATGAGCTTGATTGCCTCTGGCTGAAGTCGCGAGCCATTCGCGGCCGCTTCCCATCCCGCCGCGTCGGGCCTCATCCAGTCCAGGATATAGTTCGCGGGATCGCTGTACGAGTCGCTAAAGTCTCCCTTTCGAGAGACGCTCGGCTTTCCATTCGCGTCGGCCAAGCTCAGCGAATCCGTCTTCTCCAGGCCCGGAACAGACGCGGTGGCGTCTAACAGCTTGAGGCACTTCCATCTCTGCAATCGGATGCAACCTTCAGTGTAGAACAGGTGGGACGTCTCCTTGTCATCCAGCAGCTGCTCATGCCACCCTGAAACATCACTAGTTGACACTCCTATGTACCCATCGTCGGGGGAAATATACTCCCTATCGAAGGGCAAGATCGGCAGTGTCTCTCGTTGGGCAGTCGCCGACTCTTGGCTTTCACCCTCGTCGTCGCTCGAGTCCGAACTGAAGCTCATTTGTGAATTCGAGCCCCATGAGCGTCGATCACACGGTAGATAATCTGCGTCACTGTCCTCGTCATCGCTCATGTTCTCATTCGCCATCTCATCAGACGTATTCACGTCGGTTGGATTGGCGATCGTCAGAGCACCGGCCTCGTCTGTGCTGAAGCTCGGACTAGGGGCCGCGACGCTGTCCTTGATCTTGAGTTTCTTGACTGAAACGGCGAGGGTGTTGACATTATCTTCCGTGCCTGGTCTCTTCTTGGCTGGAGAGGGGAGGGTAGGAATGTCATCTTCCGTGCGTGGTCTCTTCTTGGCTGAAAGTGGCAGTGTAAGGGTAGGGACGGCCGACATTTTGTTCTTTTGTCAAGATTCGAGGACTAGGTCGAGAAAAGAGAGTTCCTTGTTGGAGACGTGCGTATTTTGTAGAGCAAAGGGGGTTCTTTGGTAGAGTAAGGGTAGTTCCATGGTCGACAGAAGAGAGCTATTTGATCAAGACTTTAAGTACTCGGTAGCGCACAGGGGTCGTCCATATAGCAATGACTCATGCGAGAACAGGGAACTTGTGTGTGTGCCAGAGCAAAGCAAGAACAAAGGCGACGAAGAAAAGCCTCCACAAGACAAATACAAGCCCTTTGACGCAGTGGTGTGACACCAGGGACTGACCACCGGGCTCATCGCCTGCGTTGGACACCCTCAAAACCTATCGTCCATGCAAGGTTTAAGTCAAGGGGGGGCCGGACTAATCGCATTGTGGAGGCTGTGCTGGCGTTAGTTGAGTAATGTGGTGCGTTGTCATCTTTGTGTGATGGGGGGAGGGGGCTAAGAAGTAAGCTGGAACGGGTCCATACAACAAAGTATCTGGAATCAATCAAGGAAGGCAAGTGCCAGAAGTGGCGCTATTCCTAATTCGGAGTAGCGTTGCGCGTGCTGGCAATGCGTCCAGGCACTTACCATTTGTAGCCTAGTACTATCTTAGTCAGCGCGCTACAGGCTAGTTCGGACGTTTACAAGTACCTGCTCTCGTGCCTGTGACGGGTTTGTGGCACTGCAACCCAGCCAAAGGGACCTTGAGGATCGCGGAGTGTTCGAAAATAGCTCGGATATCCCGCTACCACCTGCGCTGGCGCCCAGAGTCTGCACACAACGGACCCTGGTGATGATGACAGTGACAGAATTGCCTCCCTGGCTTAGAAAATCAAGTTTCAAAAGCAAGGTTCAAAAGTATAGTCGTAGTTCTTGCGCGATCATTTTGGGTTGTGCAATTTTCAGGGAATCCGCGCAGATGCGCCGTGCAGTCTCTAGAGCAATGAACATGTTTGGAGGACAGCCGTCCAACCTGTCCTTGACGCGTGCAGGATTCGAGGAAGTGGGAGAGAGAACCAACGGGATGAACTTCGACACCCCGCGGCTCTAGGGCTTGGAGGGGTATTCGGATCTCGGCCAGGGCGGAGGTTGTGCTCGACATGAGCCACGTATGTCGGAATTAGCCCCTTGAGTGTTGTGCTGCCGTGATTCTGTGGTGTAGTCATGCTGTCATGATGTGAACCCGCCTCGAGGCTACTATTGTCGTGAGAGCTGGCGGAATTGTTCGAGTTGGTCTCGGTATTTTCCCGACTCCACGTCGCGTCGGCCAACCATCTGCCCTGCTCACCGGTCTGTCTATGGTCAGGGTGACTCGTGATACCGTCGATGGTTGCCGTTCGTCTTCAATCAACGCACTCCTAGCAGACATTGATGTCGCGACGGGTTGGAATTCAGGGCCAAATAAATGGTCCTTGAAAGATGTCGGGTTGAGGTTCCGTTTCGCGAAAAGGCTGTCTTTTGGCAGGCTGCTTGGTGTCTTTCTGGACGACTTTAAGCTCCGGGTCTTGGACTTCTTTTGATTTGTGCAGATTGAGGTCTTTGGTTCGAGACACCTGTCGGGGTGGACGAGCAGCAGTAGCGGTTCGGGAATCCAGGTCCTTGTTTGTTTGTTTGTTTGTCCGCCGATTGCTCTGGACCTTTGCTTCCGAAATGCTCTGCTTGTTTGTTTTGCCTCACAAAGAGTTTCATGGAAAGACCGGAAATCCTTGTTCCCTCTTTGAGCGCACCCAGCCAGCTGCAGGTCCCTGAGCTTTTCGCAAAACTGCGTAACCCCCTTTCAAGATTTCGGGGCGGTGGGAATGGGACAGCCTTGCTTTGTCATTGTGTTCGGTGTGCGAGAAATACTGTGCTATGTATGTGCCATGCTGTCCATGTGCCTGGTAGGTAGCAAACACGAACGCCGCTGTAGTGATACCCTCTGGATCCTGCAGGGCAGAGATAGGATGGAAGGACCAGATCAGACGTGAGCCGTTGGTAGTCGTCGTCGTCGTCGTCATCGAGGGTTTCCCTCAGGGTGGCCTGGCCTTGTGAGCGATATCATGAACCTAAACACGTCCATGCTGCGCTGCGCTCAACTCTCAATTTGACATCGTAGCTTGAGACAATCGGTGTGTGAACTTCACTCGCCACCCAGCAGTCACAACCATCCCTCTCCGGAGGTCTCTTCACTGCCTCACCCTGCATCACACATCATATGCCGTGACTTCTGAGGACCCCACTTTTTTTATTCAAGTGTTATCATTTACAATCGCGAAATTCCTTGCAACAATTGTCAGATCTGGCCTGCATCAATCTGTAACACCGAGTACGGGGTTTTGAACACTCAACCACCTTGGTTTACATACTTCCAGATCTTGGCGCTGCCCATCAGGAATTGATAGTTGCAATCTGCATTGTTACAACAACAACAACGACAAATCAAGGCTCAAAGCGAGAGACGGGGGAGGGTATAATGGGGTTGAGCGCTCACGGAGGAAGAAAGAGTAGGAGGACGAGCAGGAGGGACATCCGCTGCGAGATAGGAGAAGGGCTCCTAGAGTCCGGGAAAAAAAACTGTGTCCACTGCACTACGGGCTACAGTTTTCTCCTGAGAGGAGTTTTTTTGTAGTTTTTGTAGTTTTTACATCTAGTAGTTGTGTGTATATGTGAAGTTGTGATATACGCGAGGCTGTACATGAATTAATACTCCATAATATACCGTCAGTATTATCATTGCTGAGAGGCCTAGGGCTTGGGATTTTATCCTCACGGAGCACATTTCAAGTTAAGTTTGAGAATGTTATGATAACAACGGTGATTAATTGATGGTGTAGTAAGTGATGTGACTGTCTCCAGATATTTAGCTCTACTCTCCGAGACCTAGTAACGCAATGCGCACATATAATCCCTAAGGGCGCCATATAATTTAGTTGGTGGGGAGAGCTTACGAGTCTGCAACGTGGGACGTACAATGCACTGAAACCAGATCGAGTAGTTTTGTCAAGTTCAACCTCGAGCTCGAGCTCACAAAGAGGGAGTGTCTTGTGTCATCATATCCTCATATTGACGTTCCAGGCAATAACACAATCTGACTTGTTCCGCAGGAGTCTTAGTAGACATCCAGGTAGCCGAACTATGTCAAAAAGCCAACACTGTCGTTCATAGTCCTCAAGCTCCCGGAGTGAGTGTCGTTATTGCCATGCATGTTCGTCGGTCCAGGCAATCCGGCGGCTTGGGCGTGGCGAAGGAGTCCAGGCAGGCAGATGTAGTCCACCCAAGATGCGAATTGCAAAGCAGCGATGAATGTTTCCTCGCTGGAATCTCGACGCAGGCCTCAATTTTGGCCCACATAACCTCGCACCGCACCGCTATTGCTCAGGTTAACTCAGGCCTATTCATGTCTGGCTCAGTCTCAGTATACCTGTTGAACAATAGTGTGTTCTCCGGGTGGCACAGGGCGCTGGAGGCCAGGGTGCTCAACAACCGTGAACCGTGTGAGTTGCAGAGTTGTGTGAAAGTCATATGAGGGTATCCGTGGAAGTCAGGGTCATTGTTTCAGACGCCAGCAATATGATGTATGTAATAAAGAAGTTCTTGTTGTATGTACAGACTACGACAGTCAGACAATGCCTGAAGTGAGACGTGGACAGGATGATTGTTGTCGGCTAACCTTCCTTCTTGTATGTCGGAAATAACATAGTCCGTAGTCCGGCCTGTGGCATGACGTCAGCGTCTACGGCGCGTCCTTAATTATTTCTGTCTCGGTCTCACAAACAACTTGTCTGTCACCAATATCAGCTGCATCGCTTCTCAATCTCACGTTGGTGCAATCAAAGAACCGCGTGGCCAAAAGGCGAAAAATCAAGCAGTTCATCTGCACCTCACGCTCCCGCGCTGCGCAATACCTTGTTGCTGCGTCGACGTTCGTTGTCGCGCCGATATTATCAGTTCGCGGCACGACAAAGATCTCATTTGGCAAAAATGGCCTTCGTGAATGATTCCGTCGGGCAATCTCCTCCCTCTGTTGGTCTCCCACCGTCACGCGCGGCCTCTGATTCACAAGTCGATCTCCCTCTCCGTGTCCAGAAGACCTTGGATTCTGACCACACAATCACACAGTCGCAAGAGACGACTACACCTCTCCAGCAAGCTGTGGGCCTGGACCAAACAGACGATGCTCGACAATTTTTACAGTATTGCCTCGACGGCCACAACCTTGATTTCCCAGACAGACCTCGCGAGTTCATCGTACCTGAGTTGTCCTTTGACCAGCTGCTCGAGGATTCTGAATTCGAGTCTCTCAGTAGAGGGTATGCACACCCTTCTTCTTTTGTGATCTCTATCAAACGAGATACTAATATCATCCCGCATCCTTAGATTCAAAATCTCATACAACTCCCACAAGTGTGTCCTCACTCTTTCACCAATGCCTGGCCGAAGACACGGTCGAATCATCGAATGGCTCGGTGATGTCGCCAAACAGAAATTAGATTCGTCGGTACGGCACAAACTCTGCATAATACGTGGCGAGGATATTGTTTTCCAAGGAGAATGGGGAGGGTCACATAAAGAGCCAGACTTGGGTATCGCATGGATCAAGGACGTTGGTGGGACCGACTTACACACTGTTGTCGAAGTTGGTGTTTCACAGTCTCGTCAAAGTCTACTCAATTTGCGAGACCTGTACTTGAGAGGAACGTCCCACGTCTCCAGGTTGATCTTGGTCGATCTTGTCACGGACCCCGAGTACACAAGCCCCGTGGGCCTCGACATCCGTGAACTCCGGGCCATTGACAGAGCGGATTTCCAATTAGATTCAGACCAGGGGCCACTTTGGTACAAGGGAGTCAAGTGGGTCGGGAAGAGCACGCTCGTCTGGGAAGTCTGGGAACGAAATCTGGACCACGGAGGAGAGCCGACGCAGATCTTTTCCGCAACCATTGACGCCGGTGACTGCGAAACCCGACTTCCATTCTTCGAAATACCCGCCACGACCGCAACCGGTATCGAGGCTGTTACAATTGCGCCCGCGGATCTTCACGAGATCTGGCAACATTGGTGGAAACACGCCATCATAGATGAGGCAGTGAGGCGGATGGGGAGGTATGTCGAGAATGTGACCAAACGTCGAAACAATGCCGCGGAATTGGTGAAGCAGGAAGACGAAGCAGCCAAGAGAGAAGAAGCTAACAAGGAACGCACGGAGCGCGCAAATGGTCGGTCGCAGCGTTGATTCTTGGACAAACGATACGGAGAAACACAGGTGATGATGGATCTTATGCCTTGGTACGCGCATCAGAGTCCTGGAGGCGGCTTTTTCAAGGCGACAGGAGATCTGATCATCACGCCTCACCTGTTTTCACAATAACAATAGCACGAGGTCTGGGTCAGGGTCAGGAATAGCCTGGCCGGCAGAGCTCACCAAAGGCCTTGCAGCTTTTCACAGACTCTCTGTCTCTCTCCTACTCTTGTATCTGGCATGTTCTTCCAACCTGAGGTCACATCAGAGCAACGTCGAGCCGCAGAAGGAAGTTGAGAGCGGGAAGATAACGAGAGGAGACAGAGAGAGGCACTTGCTGCATTTCACTACCACCCATAGGATGAAGTCGTTCATAGAAAAAGCCCTGATTGACAGACTACTTTGCTCACCGCCGGTGGTAGAGGTGTAGAAAAAAAAAATGGAGCGTATCGCCTCCGCGTATTCATGTCCCGCAGTAAAGTTCCGGTGACTAGATCCTCTCTCTACTTCGCCCTTCTCCCCAGAGATCGTGTGCCCTTGTGGGTAAATCCCCTAGTCACCGGTTCGCCCTGTCAGCTCCTGATGATGCGGGCTCATATTTCGCTCCGACTAAACCGTCGTCGTCGTCGTGGACCATGATGGGCAAATCTTTCCAGCAATGCTCCGCGCTCTTTCTTCCCACGCCGTGTATCTTAGCCGCATCATGCTTGCCTCATTCATCTTGGTTTCGACCGTGTCGTCCTGCCTGAGCAGTCCCGGTCAGTGTTTGGCCATACATAGTGTTATCCAAACGGTTTGCCATTTGGTTGGAACCAGCCGATTCCGTATTGACGGTGGGGGAGACTCTCTCCCCGGGAGCCAGCCTGGTCGATCACAGATGTGAACAGCTTCACGAGGTATTGGAGTCGATGAGATTATAGTATGAAGGACTCGTCTGAAAAGGTTGAGGTTCTCTTCGTGTCAGATCTGTTGACCCGCCTTGCAAGTGACCAGTGCCGGGGGACCCTGGCAGGCTCCGTGACTCCGATCGTGGTCGACGACGAGGATTCGTTGAGGGCCAGACGAGACGATAGTGCTGTGCGGGACAAAATAAAGAGAAATGGAAAATGTACTCGCTAGAAGAAGAAAAAGAGAGCAAGAGAGTGAGAGATTGAATGATCAAGATACGGGGGAAGATGGGAGGGAACAAAGATTGATGGCCCTGCAAGGAGGGGATTTTTTATATATTTTTACCTTTTTTTTTTTTTTTGGTTTCCTTCTCGTTTTTTGGGTTGTTGGTTATCAGAAAGAATATCCCACATCTCATGGATATCTACTCTACAATACAATACAATACAATTCACTGAACAGGTCCACAGGTCAAAACACCTGAAAGTCATGGACCGTGTGTACCACACCACACCACCCTGGCTCTCCCAGCTGCTTGTGTTCGTCTCCCTCAGCCAGCAGACATTCCTCCCTCGTGCATTCTGTGTTCATGTGTGAGCAATATCCCCTCCCCCCCCCACCGCCAAAAGCATCAACAAACTTCATTCCCAGACAGAGGTCAATCCTCTCTGAACGAGATTACGATACTCGAGGGTTCTAAAATAGTCCTTGATATATGGGTTATCGGGGAGGCGGTTGAGCCTCACGATTGGCGAGTGCTCATACGGAGTGACATTCAATAGCATCCGCGGTTTGCGTTCGGTTTTGGTCACCTGTATGCGTCGTTCGAACCTCTCGTCTCTATCCACAATCAAGACCTCTTTGACTTGCAGACGTTTGATGAAGAATTGGGTAGCCGCCCTCCAGTGCTGTTTCACCACTTTGTTGTCTCTGCATTGAAGCGGCATCTGCAAGCGCATTCGAGCGATGCAGTCTACCCATTGGTATTGCAAGAGATTCTGGAACACGACAAGAGGCGGCAACAGGATAGCCTCACGTTCCGATTTCTCCACAACACCTTGTGCTATTGCCGCCAGGTTTTCATATCCGCCCTCAATGCGGAGAACTTTGAGGGCCCCCGGTAGGTTGGGAAAAAAGTCGGAGGAGGACACTTTAAACCGAGAGAGGCAGAGTTCTTTCAATCCAGTCAGTGGCGTCAAGTCAATGACTCCAGTCTCCATACCGGCTTGAAAGTCGTAATGGTTGTGGAGATATAATTTCAACAACTCGAGGTGCGGTTGCTTACGGGCCAGTATTACCGCTAGGCGATTGAGCGCGTCGGTGTGCAGGCTGTTGAAAATGGTCCACGGAAGAGAACGGCCCCTTGAAGAACCATCGCAGTACTCGTACTCCAGGGTCTCGAGTGCCCTGGGCAACCGCAGGATGGACGCGAGAACATCTGGGGTCAAATTGTGAGCATGCAAGAGGGCCAGATGCTTCAGCGGCGTGGAATGAGGTCTCGGGAGCGAGTCATCATCGTCCTGAAACAAGGGGAGAGAAATTTTCAGCGTCGTGAGCTTGGGTAATTTGAGCAAAGGGTTGATCCAAACTTGATGGGGCCACAGGTTGACCAACGTGCATTCGCGCAACTCGGGAAAGGCATTCAATGCGAGCGTCTTGTTGAGGGCGGCGAAGAGTGACCGATCTTCGCGGATAATTCTCACAATGTGCAAGACCTTAAGCTTGCCGAATTTGGGAAGATCACAGACCATGTTGCCCGGGTTTTTCGCCCCGCGGGCAGGAAAGACAATCAAACGCTTGACTAGGTCATATCGGTGGGGATGTTCCTTCAACACGCGACTTAATTTATCAGCTTGATCCTGGTCGGCATAACTGAGAAACCGGAAAAACGCAGGCTCGGACAATCTGTGTAATGCTTTGCATGTCTGCCGAACCTTTCTGACGTGTTGTCGATTTGCTGGGAAAACGTCGCCGTCCAGTAGGTCGATAATATCCAAGAGGATCTCCGTGGGGAGCTTGAGTAGGGTCAGCAGTCTGTCGATGCGAGACTCCATTCTGTTGGGTAGGTTGCGGGTGCAAGCGATGGATAAGAAGTTGTGATGAGAAGAAGAAGGACTTGGGAGGAAATGATTCGATATTTAAGGAGGCCGTAGGCAACGGCTTTGCCAAGGCAGTTGAGACACAAGGCTGTGAAGCATGAATGAAGTTTGCAGGCAATGTACACAGGCAGCGCGTTTGTGTGCGTGGGCAATGCCTTGCTTCACTGGCCACAGCAAGCTCGGCTCTTTGTCGACCAGAAAGAAACTATTTCCGTTTCACTCTTGATTGCCCGTTTTTTCCGAGACTCGGGGAATGGCCATTGTGCGCATTCCCTTTGATCTCACAAAGGACCTTCTGTTGTGAGCTTCTCCTTAACCTTCGATGACCACCGATTGAGTCAAGGCTACCGACTTTGGCGATAGCGATGTTGTTGTTCGTCGAGTCAGTCGGACTTTGAGCGCCACAGCTGGCCGTCCTTTCGTAGCTGCTTCGTGATATGCGAGGCACTGCGTCGAGATCGGGTACTCGGCGGACCCGTCGACAGTGGGTAGTAGGATCGTGCTGGTCGACCTCCGCCAGGCTGAGGTTTGGCATCATATCCGTTTGACAGAAAGCAAGAACCGCTCATGGCCAGCTAAACTGCACGGAGAACTCAGCACTCGGAGCCAAGCACAGCTGGCCAGGAAGGAGGTTTCCCTTTTTACATACCTGCACCGCTTGCGTCTGATCAGATGTCAGCCTTCGAACCCGCTGTGTATCTTGGATTGATGAATTGCTACACGAAGAACTGTACAAGAACAAAGGTTACCTACACAGCTGACTGCGAGGTTTTGCCGAAGCGCGCCGCGCGGCTCGCGCGTCAACGAGAACGTAAGCGCGATTCCACGTGACCATGCTGCGTAATAGTTACAGAGGAAGGAGGACATAGACTGCAAGCTGCAGGCTGTAGAATGCGGGATATGGGATACGGGTTAACTAAGATTACAATCGGCCCTGTACCTGTTACTCCCTCTCCCAGTTGATGAAACAGTCAAGACAGACTTCCCAACCTTGTACAAGCCAACCAAGTCCGAGCTGTGTCCGTGCCCTTCGAATCGAACCATTGCAGACCCGACTCGAGCTCTCCGAAGTCATGTGGGCACGGCTCTTGTATTGCACGTTGGCGAGTAGTCCTTCAAGAGTTGCATAATAGAGAGACGTTGACAATCTCGAACGCCTCGATCCAAGTTGCGGCAAGGACGAGCCGATACACCGAGCCGTTTAACAATACATGATTTCTGCATGGTTCCTGAAGCCCCCGGCGTCATCGCCACTGCCATTGCCATTATGAGGTTCCCATCATTCAACCATTTTCCTCACCCTGCTCGTCTCGGTCAACCGTGGCCACAACGGCCCAGTACTCAGACTGGCCTCCAACGGCGGATCGGAGCGGATTAGATCCAACGAAACCATCTCCTCTAGGGCGGCAAAACCGGGGTTTCCCAGCGGACGGGGCCCTTGCATCAGTATCTGTTCCGGCTCATCTATAAATATGTCTCGGCGGGATATCATGCATCGTCTGGCAGGTGTGCTGAAAAGTCCTCGAGTGATAGTACCAATGTGGATGTTGAGTGAGGGAATACCCCTGGTTTTGGTTTCCCTACCCTCTGAATGCTCGGTATCGCCAGGCTGCCGCTCTGTCGATGATACGGTATGGGAGGAGTGACGTGAATGTAGAAATACTGCCATGGCATACAGAGAGCCCAATGACAATACTATCTATCCGTCATCCGCTAGCACTTTTGGGTCCTTCTGGGCTTCGCGAAGGACGTCCTTCATCGCAGAATAGAGCCCCGTGTCCGGTTTCTTCCACATCTCATTGCTTGGAAACACCTTCCTCCGCAGTCTATTGACCCACGGGATCAATGGCTGGTAGTACGGTGTGAAGTGCGTGCTCGCGGTCTTGAGAAACATCGTCTCACTAGCTATCGTACCGACTTTCGAAGTAGCCAGACTTTCATCACCCGCGTAATTCCAGTTCTCATACACAGGTGAGCAGATAGATTGACCCGGCCCCGTGTAGTGGATGCATAACCAGAAGAGCACCCAGAAGAATGACTCGAGGTCATGCATGAAGGAATGCTGCTCGCCCATAAGCACCCCTACCGCCATGAACGCCCGCGTGCCGGTCTTGTGTTTTGCTCCAGAGGCCGCTTCTCGTGGCACCTTGATAGCGAGGTCAAGGTCAATCAAGAACGAACGCTGGGACGGGTTGTCCTCGTCCTCGTTGATCATGAGATTGTTGATCGAGATGTCTCGGTGGAGAAAACCAGCCTTATACAAGGATTCGTGTCCAACAATGCAACCTTCCAACGCAGCAAGGAGAGCCGATCGGGAGCTCGCCTTATATATGGACTTTCCATAGTCACGAAGAACGACACGACGATGTACACGATTGGGTGGTGTTTCATCGCGAGCGTTCGATGGGGAGATTGAACAAGCCCGCTTGCTGGAGGGCAGGACGGCGAGGATTTGACTGGAGGATCGCTTCTTGCCGGCCGCCCGGCCGCCGGTGCTTTTGCTGCGACCTCTCGACGAACCCCTAGCCGCGGTGATACTCGGTGGCGGCATTGAGGATTCCGGCCTCAACGGGTAGTTCGTAGCTGTGGTGACGTCGAGCTGGCCGCGTACATTGCCCCAAATGTCGTCATCTTTGTTGCCCACTTGGACAGTCTCGTGGTGATAGTATCGGGCCACGTTGGCAACACCTTGACCGGTTGCTTCACGTAACAATTCGCCCTCATCATCACGTTCGACATGTTGCCATGAGTCTTTGATGACGAAGGGTGTCTCTGGCTGTCCCTCTCGATAGGCTTTCCAGCAAGTCGTTGCCCTGCCAACTATGCAACGTGTGCGTAGCATCAACCTGTCAATGATGAGACGCTCTGTCGAATCATTCCGCTCGATCTCGATGAATCGGCTGCCATCTGCCATCGTCATGATTGTCGGATCGAGGCCAAGCTCCTCCTCACTCATGAAGGTAAATCCGAGGACTGTGGACACAAAACGCTCCCCATCTTTGTTGATGTCGAATTGCTCGGACGCGATCCCCCCGAGCCGGTCGAACTCCCATATCCTCATAAGTGATCCGCAGAGGGTAAAGCCCAAGACAAAGCGACGGTTGTCCTGAGCAGCAAGCACTTCCCTCGCGTACGTCCCGAGATCAAGCCACGCCTGTCCTGGCGCGTCGGCCGATGGATTGCTCTTCAGCTCGCCCGGTATGAGGATATTTGACCAGGTAGGTTTGAATTCATTTTCGGTCTTGGAGCAACCCAGGAAGGCGATGTCCAACTTGCGATCTGCAACGGAACCTTGTACTATCTTGTTGGGTTGTGCCAGTAGCCATCGTGGATGCCTCGGGAGCGTCTTGTATGTTTCTGCAAAGTTCACCAGTTTCTCGTGCACTCTTCTCAACCAGCGCAAGACGTCTTCTTCTTTTGCCTTTCTCGGCCATTCGATCCACCCATCCCTCCAGAGTGGTTCATTGCCTTCCTTGCATTTCTTGAAGACAGCTGCGGACACTTCCTCGAGGTCTGCCACGCGTCCAAAAAAAGCCTCGTGGAATCGAGGAAGCCCAACGTAAAGAGCGCCGAGTTCTTTCTTGAGCACTCCGTCCACATTGTCGCAGAGCTCGGAGGTATTAATCAAGCTGCCCGTTGTCTGATGGAATGGGGTTTGGATAGGAGGGCCTCGCGACATTGTTGGTGGTGTGGATTCGATGACGGCATTGTAGGCTCGATCCCAGACGAGCGCATCATCGGGATTGTCGGCAAGGGCTGCCTGCAGGAGAGGCTCGATGCAGTCAAGGTCGAAATGGTTGGAGGCAACCCGGGCGATGAGCGCGCGCAGATCGTTTCGGAGGCTTGGACTGCCCGTCCTGGAACGAAGCTGGCCAGAAGCTGGACAGTTTATGAGACTGGAAATAAGGGGGAGCGCAACATCTCCGATTCCTGCACATCGGTCAGGGTAGCACAGTACAACGAAGCTAGATCACCTTACCTCTGTCAAGTTGACCCAGCGCGTCCAAGGTGCACTTGATACCCCTCTCTTTGCAGCTCGATTCAAACGTAACGCGAAAGCCATCGAGGACATCCTTCCCAATAGGATGGTCCTTGATGATCTTTGACTGGTCTTGATCGACCATCGCATCCGCGATGGCGTCGAGATGGCATCGACGTGGGGGACAGATGTAAGAAGATGAAAGACGCGTTGCGCTACGCGTTCGTAGAAATTATTATCAGGCTCCAGTCGCCAAGACCACTTGGCAGACACGTGATCTAGAGAAATATTCCTCCGACGGCCGAATCTTTTTTCACACACCCCGTGACCCGGAGAAATATTTCTCCGCCGCTCAGTCATCAACACACTTTCCTTGTCAGGATGCTGGGGAATTCACCACCACACATACACAGCAAGTTCTCCCGTGCCCATGCATTATTGAACAAATGCAAGGCAACCTAAAACCCGGCAATCTGTTGATAAGATGGATCGCATCAAGACGGATTATTGAGAACTGTTCAAGTAGCGTCGCCCTGATTGCGTCCGCGGAATTCACTTGCTGTGCTGCCGCACAGAGCCTCCGTCTCCGCCACTGTCACCCAGTGGGCTAACAGCAATTTGCTGCCGCCGGCCCCATCGCCGGCAACTGTCTGGCTCGCGAATGAGAGCAGCTTATGGTTCTGGGATTCGTGGGTTCCCCCACCACCCAGATGCAACCCGTTCAACCACAAAAGAAGGGCTAAGCCAAAGAGGGTATCACAGCTAGCAGGGTCGGGTAGCAAAGCTGGGGATGGATGGTTGCAATTGGTCGACTTCAACCAGTCCTTTATTTCAATCTGCAAGATCCTGAGCTTCCAGTCGTATTGGAAATGTCCTCATTGTGGATATGATCGTTGTTGCGTCGACAAAAGTGCCCTCACCCCCTCGTCCAGGACTATATAGTCTATATCTATCCAAACCACCTCGCGTCCCTCTGCACTACTACTCTTCTCTATTCCTCGCTCATTGCTCTCGCATTCTCTCGTCCAGCACATATTCCCACATTGCAAACTCTGTTCCTCATCAGCCATGGCCTCTGCAAGTGGACATGAGGGTCCCAGCTCCTCCACCACCGCCACCGCTACCATTTCCTACCCCGGCGGCCAAGTGCAACCACTTGCCGGGTTGGATTCGTTGAACCAAGTTGCTTCGGGTAAGTCACTTGATCTGACTGACTGCCTCCGGGGAAAGAACCGGGCGCCAACTAACCTTCGATGAAACCAGCTCTCAGTCAGCAGATCAACAAGATCCAGGCCCAGCTCCACAGCACGACGCGGGAAATCTGCGAGCAGCTACACCTGTCAATGCGGCGCAGCGACGGCATCGCCAGCCGTATGGACCGCCTCGCCACGTGTCTCGAGGGGTCGTCGCTCCGTGGCGAAGACACGGCCCGCTGCCTGGACGCCACGACTCAGCTCGTGAACACCTTGGGTGCGCGTGGCGACACCGACGGCAGGAACATCGACGCACTGTTCAGAGACCTCGCGGACGCAAACCAGTATATCAGGGGCGTGCAAAACTTGGCGCACGTCCGCATGAGCTCCCTCGAGGACAGAATCAGGAACATTGAGCGCCAGGTCCATGGGGATAGGGCAGACCCGCTCGCGCCGCCTCCCACGCCCATGCCCAAGGCGGCATCTATGGCGACGGAGCATCCAGCAGCGCCTGAACTGTATCATCCCTTGCCACTCCCTGCAACGTTTGCACTACAGCTTCTTGGGGAGGGTCCCGGACATCTCCTTCTGCAACAGCCACTGCATCGTCCAGTGGACAGTGAAATGACACGTTTGCCAACAGCGACAAGCCCGCGGGAGGCCTGTGAACCGCCTCCTTCCTCAGATATTTCGGAGACGAACCCACTCCACCAGGGCCTGAACCATGTGGTCCTTGGTGCGAACAAGCCGTTCCTCCCGGCCTTGGAGACTGACCCTGTCGCCAAGTCCTTGCCTGGCTTGGGAGAGGGTCACACTGCCGAAGTCATTAGCATTGGTATATTTTCCTCAACCCCTCCTCGTCCTTCTCCTCTCTGTTGGCTTTTCTCACAAACTGACAAAGAGCAACCTCATATAGACACCTTCGATTGAATTCCCCTCGGTCCCGGTCTCTACTCTCTCTCCCTCCCCTCCTCTCTCGGTCTCGGTCCCAGTCCTGTCCCTCTGCGGTGCCTGCGGTGCCTGCGGTGCGTTGCAACGATATCATGTCATGTCAGGCCCGGCATGGCCTTTCAGAATCGAAGAAGGGAATGAGAAGAGAAGAGTTTATGCATACATACAGCACGCGGACGGCCGTTGTCCCCGCCGCTGTTCCCTGTGTGTATTCATGTTAATTTTCGTGATTTTTGTGTCATTATGGAGGAAAACACCCTGGGGGTCTCGGAAAAGAAGGGAAGGAAAAATACAAGGGGGTATTGTATGCAAGATATCAGATGCCGTTAGTGTTCTTAAATCCGGATTCTTTGATCAGCTCGAATCAAGTGTCCCAAGTCTTTATCCCTGCGAACATGATGCGATTCGCATGATTTGATGAATTGTAGTGTCAAGGGTGATCCGAGAAGGTTCCGCAGTCGACAGTGAGGTCGTTTCGCAGAGAGTGACCAGCCTTGTCGCGTCGGATGTCCGCAAACACGCGCTGCCACATGACCAGACTACTACATGTGAATCAGGACACCGGAGTCAAGTCTGTCCGCCTTCTTGCCTCCCTGCCCTTCCTGCCAGCCTGAAATCATGCGTTGGCGTAGCACGGAGCGAGACGATGTCCTCTACCTTGAAAATTGACTCAGTGCTCACAGCTCAGCAGTCGGACCTAGTAAAATAAGTAGAAAACCAAGGAAGGAAGTAAACATAGCTGCGGGGGCTGGCTGAGTAGAGTACAGCAGTAGAGCAGGAGCACAGTACAGTACAGCATACCACACTTTAGCAGCCAATCGTGGTGGTATAGCATGGTGTAGTGTGTGTGGCGTGGTGTGGCGTGGTGTGGCGTGGTTCATTGACAGACAGACAGCCATCGGAAGAGTAAGGGGCCAAGGGACAAGGTAAAGGGAGCAAGGCGAGCAAAGTAACTAAAGGACTCGAGGGCCAAAGAATACAAAGGGTACAAGGGCGAAAAGCTGGCCTAACGGATCGCAGTGTACCCTCGCGAATTTCCTTGGGTCCACGCCCAAAGCCCACGCTTGACGCCTGATGTGTTGCCTACAACGGCTACGCTGCTGTCATGCCACTCCAAAATCCACAAAATCTGCAAGTGTAAAGTCCGAATCCACGCCGAACACGCACACCCTTAACGCCCATATCCCAACCTCCAACGCCCAATGCAACCCCGTGTCACATACCTGAGTGCCCCCGTGACCCTCCAAAACTTCCCGAAAACCAAATACAAAATCAAGTGTAAAGTCCAATTCCGCGCCAAACGTACGCCCAACAACGCACACCTTCCCAAACACGCTCAAAATAACGAAAAAACGCAAAATGTAAAGATACAAGTGTAAAATTAACAAAATCACCAAGTGTTTGGCAAAATTTCGACAGACATCGACGCTTCGGCATGGGCTCTTCAATATACTCTTCACTCGAGTCTGGATTGTATCCATCGCTGGAGTCTCCGCTAGAATCTTCACTAAACTCTCGCATGGACCATCGACTGGACTCTTCTTGACCGGACTCTGCTTTACTCGAGTCTGAGCTGGACTCTGGGATAGTCGAGGTCTGGCACCTCATCCTGTTAGCCTTGGATGGTATTGCTAACCGGGGCTTGGACTTTGGCATTCCATTGACGTTGGATGATCACATTTCTATCTGTCGGCCGAGGGGTCTCGTAGGCGGAGATGAGATTTGTCCTCCGAGTCGATGGTGAGGCTGGGCAGAGGGGGCACACCGCAGGCGCGGGGAATCGGGTAACAAATCTATGTGTTTGGTCAGCAGTATGGACGGTTACGGTCAATCTCAGGCTGGGAAACTCACATTGGTGATAAACACGTGCTATGATTCTCTGTGTGCCACGAAACAGTGACTGGGCAGGTTGCAGCTGGACAGGAAATCAACGACGATGGACTTGACTGACTGACTCGACGGCGAGGTCCTGTTATCGTGACGAAATTCGAGCCGCGGGTCAAGCAAAGAACTAGAGAGCGCGAAAGAGATCTGGCAGAGAAGAGGAAGTCGAAGCAGAAGTAGGGTGAGAGGAGGAGACATGGCGTACAAGTAGGTTTGATGGGCGGTTCGCGGGCAAAAGCTACGATCAGCCTGGCCGTTGAGGGAGAATACGTTTACAGACAAACAAACAAGTGGACAATGGCTTTACCCCTGAACTTCTGCCTTGCAACCTCCCAACTTCCAACTTCCTGTGGTTTTGTACCTTTACCCTTGTATACATGATCAACTCGATGCGTGTATAAAGTTTTGCGGCAGCAATTGTTGCAGCTGTCACTGTCGGAAGCGCCACCTGATGGGGAGCTAGACCCTTATACGAGACTTGCTTCTGGCAGGTCTTCCTAGCGTAGGGTCGACCCCCAGAATTTACAGGGGGAAGGAAATCAATTTCAGTTGCACCCCTAGAAGCGAGCAAAAGGAACTTGTGGAGAGACTCGCCGAAGGTAAGATCTGAGCTAAGAAAAAAAACACATGGCGATAACTTTATAAACCAGCTCTGAGCTGGTAGAAAGTATGGCGGAGACGAGGTAAGAGATTTTAACGTGTGTTTGGAGGCGAATTTGTAGGCGGGGAAGGAGGAGAGGGAGGGTTCAGTTCGGAGGGAGGGTTTCTTAGAGAGGAAAGAGGCGGAGTAGGCGCTGAGATGGGCGGTGAGAATAGGCGGTGAGGGCTTGGGGAATGCGGGGCCCGGACAGAGCGCAGCACAATAGTCGAGAGAGTGAAGCAGAGAGGTGAGTTATGTAGTTTAACGCCAGGGAGAATTCAAAAAGAGTGCGGGGCCTAGGCTGGAGGGTGGAAAAAGGTAGCAATAGGTGATCATAGGGCTGCTGGTGGGGTCTGGAGGGTCGTCTCTAGTAGAGGGGCTTAAGTGGGCGACTCAAGTGTGCCGCAAGAAATTGTGTTGGGGAGAAAATAGGCCTGAATGCAAGGGAGGAAACTTTTGCCCATCACTTTCATGCCGCTGACCCTGGCAACGTTGCTTTTTTACGTCCTGAAAAGAGGGTCAAAGGTCCGAAACTACCAGGAATAGCAAGTCATGGTCATGGTCATGGTGGTAGTGGTGGTAGTGAGGTACAGGGGAAAGAGGGGCACTCCTGGTTGGGCCTCACAGTTGCCTCGCCCAGTTACTGCTCCGGGGGCAATTAGGGAGGCACTTAGTGGGGTGGGCGTGCCAGAGCACCTCGCCCACTGTTCTCTACCATCCACCATCCCATGCCCAGTTCCCACCCTTTGATTTGGCCACCTTCGATCCCCACTCACACCACCCACACAAAGTACTGCGTCTCGAAACATGCCGCAGTCAAAATTGGCACTGTTGGAATCACACGTTGCTATGCAGCCGCAACCTACCTCACTTGGTGTAACAGCCGCCGTTGCATTTGCCGCGTTAGTTTCCACCACCTTTGCCAACTTTCTGGAGATACCTGTCCAACTTCTCTCGTCTTACCTCAGTGCCAGGGACTTGGACTTGACCGAGGCGCGTCTTCTCGTTGGTGAACCAGACATTGCATGTTTCCGCTTGTCCGCCATGGCTGGCAATTCAATCGCTATCCGACAGGTGTTGCGGCTGCGCAGAAACACCAATTTCAAGCACATGGACAAATTCAATTGACAGGTGGTGGGTAGCGTCTCGCAATCAGTGGCTACAGAAGACCTTTCAGATTGGGTACTTCTCGCCGAGCAGCTCCCCAGACTCCCCATGCTGGTCCGCATCGGGTATCCCTGGATATGACCTCCGGACTGCGTGGAGGACCATCCCATAGGCGCGCGAGAGGGTGCGATGTCAGGCATGGCTGGTCGAGCATCCCAGAGTTTTAATTTCAACATTCGACCATGCCCTGTCTTCCAGCAGACATATAAACTTCACACGGGGACGAGTGGGAAGCAATCCTTCGTCCATGCTCACACTGGCTGCATGATCGTTTAGTGCATTGGTGCTTTCTTTGCGGCCGAATATCGTCCTTTGGTTATTATTCAATATCTCCAGGCAGTGCCACGCCAACAACATTACCATGGCTCGTAAGGTCTCGCTCACCCCTACTCTCCACTACCAATGTGCACGGGACTTCAACGGTCTGTCATATGTCTCTCTTAGAAATACATTTTGGCACGAGTATATCAAAATGGAGATTGAGCATATCGGCACGACAAATCCCACCGGCCTGGACAGTGATCAAATGTGGGTCCTCCATACGGGCGGGCGGGTGGATAAGTTGCTGGCGATCTTGCGCCAATCAGATTCTCTCCATGTGCACGGCGAGGACGCTTTGCGGCATATGAAAAGCGAAGTTCACGGCTGGGTCATGTGGTAGGTCCGGAAGCCCAAAGACCAGCGCGACAATCGGACACTGTGTGCGGCCGCCCTGACCTTCCACGACGGGCCTGTTCAATTCTTGCATAAAGATGACCGCTTGGGCAGTGTGGGCGAGTTGGTCGAGGACGCATTATGATCATTTCTTTGGTCAGACGAGTGCAATGCAGTGCAGTGTTGTGTAAAGGGTGGTGTTATATTGGGCAACACCACTAAACTCGCAGGCTTGAGGGCGCTACGAGCGGGCACCTTTGGGGCTGTTTGCACGCCTCAAACTCGAGGTGCTGGGGTGGCTTGCACAGGCGTGTAGCACCCCTATATCGAAGCCCGCCGCAGCGTCCTGCAAATGTAAGTGTCGTCGCTGCCAAGAGCCAAGTGCCAAGCTCTCACGTGCGCGGCAAAAAGTCGCATGAAACTGACAAGTCGCTGCCGCTTTTGCTGTACTATACTAGCGCCTGGGCCAGACTTTAGCACCGTTTTCAGAGCTCCAAGCCCCTTGGCAATACTATACCGTATTGTCATGCGGCTTCGTCAGAATCAAATGCTCATTGAAAATTACAAGCGCCTTTGCTCCTTTCTCCCGCTGCCTTGGTCAAAATTACAAGCTCGCTGAGACTCACCAAGCGCTCCACCACTTCACCGTACTCCTCCGAAATGCTCTACTTAGTGGTGGTATCACTCACCTGCCTGCATCACTACGACCACACGGTGTAATTTTATGATTCTTACACTGGGTGAATCTGCCTGAGCAGGCAAGTCGATTGAGTCCGAGAACGGCTTCGCAGGGTGAATAAAGAAAAAGTTTGATGATGAGTTGCCTTTGTTCAAATGTCGTTGATGCAACCATCAAGCTGACGGCAAATCCGCCAATCACAGGTCGCGATTCACGGAATGGTCCGTGGCCGGACGCGGAAAACAAAGCCACCGAGTCAACAAAGCGCCTTTGCCCATGCCATTGTGTGGTACCAACAAGCATCCCCAACTGCCTCGCACTCTCTCTCTCCCTAGGCAGTGGTCTCGCGACGTCTTTATAAGGAGGCACTTCCCGTCCTTCTTGTCCTCTTCATCTTCGTCAGAGCTGCAATGCCCTCTCGACCACCCAGATGGCTTCGCCTGCCCCTGCGCCACTCACGCGCTGCAATCTCCGAAAGCTCCACAAGATGTCAGACAGCCTCTGCTGGGCCAGTCTTCGCCTTCTTCACGCGCTCATACGTCGTCGTCGGGGTTTCAAAGCCTCGTCAATCGTATCGCGAGACTGCAAGGCGCCGGTGTTGTCATGCTTAACAATTCACCGCCTCCGGAGATTGAGGAGCTGCTAGAAGCCATCTGGGGGGCGCCAACAGGCTGACGAGAGAAGACGAGAAGTCGCCAACATACCGGACTAAGCGGCGAGCTTCGGCCGCGTATCCCACCACCTCGGCGGCGTCCACGACGTTCGCAGCCTCTGCACTCATATATATATATAACAAACAACGCAACCTCCGATGCAGCCTGAGAAGCCACAGCGCCTCTACAAAGCTCGGCTGAACCTTCACCTCTTCCTGCTGCTCCTTTCCCCCCCAAGGCTCTGCCGGCTGGGCCCTAACAATCCTTTCCCAGACGTTGTGCTGGGCTTCCGCCCCCGGGAAGTATGCCAAATACTGGCTCTGCGTGGCCTCGAGGAATCACTCGTCAAAGTATACCTGTTCAACCTGAACCCTGAAAGAGAGTTCTGCTTCACACACACGGGGGCATCGGACATGGCATGCTTTCGAAGTTCTACGAGCAGTCAGAAAAACGGGCCGGGGACAAGAACGATGAAGACCTGGAGGAGCTTGATGAGTGAAGGACCCCTTGAAGATTGCTGTCCATGTGACTTCTCAGGATTCATTCGTCGACGGACAGTTCTGGAGGGCCAGTTACCAAAGTCTCTCTGGCCCCGGCACCCAGGGTGGTCGCCGCCGTCGCAACCGCTTTTCCAGAGGACAACTTCCGATTGTTTCAGCGCACAGTGGGGTTGACATGGGTTGACGAATTTAACGTCGCCTTTTACAAGGCACCCAAACGAACAGCGAAATACCTTCACTTCGCCGGATCGTGTGAGTCGGACGGACAGTTCTGGAGGGCGTATATTGAACCGGAAGGATCGTGCTCTGCTTGTGGGGACCTTGAAGGCCACACAGTCCATCAGCCATGCACACACTGGGTGTTGGTCGCGAGCTCCAATCACTCCATGGCGGAATCGCGCAAAGCCAAGTCTGGCCGGGAAAAGAAAGAGAAATCGACAAAGGCGGCAGACGATAAAAAGGCGAAGACGACCACAAAGCAGGGCCGGAAGGCCAAGAAATGAGAGTCGAGAGGAAAGGGGCGACGTCGGCTTTAAGTTATGGACGACAATCAGACGGAGTCACGCTAAACTCGAAGGGGTTTAACCACCGAAATCACCTGCGAGGGAGACGCAGGAATCATGAGGGCCAAGCATTTCGACTCCGCACGCATCATGGGCATTAGCGGATCTGACGGACGGCGGCAAGAGCAGAATCGATCGAATCTACGTACGGGAAGACCTGATGACAAGTACAAAAGATTGGTACATCCTACCGACGGACCATGGCTTGGTAGGCATGAGCATCGCCCACAATCGGGTGGGAAGAGGCCCACGACGGTGGATTGCCTCAGCATATCTCATAAACGAAGTAAAGACACTGGGAAAAATCAAGGACATCTTCGCTGAAGAGTTCCAGCGTGAGTTGGAACACGAAGAAGATGACCCCCACCTGGGCCAACCAATCGTGGACAAATGGATGTAGTGCAAAAAGCGAATTCAGGCGTTCTTGAAAGAATATTACAAGGCCAGAAGGGAAAGGAAACAGTCCCGTGAGCGAACGTTACGTCGGCGGGCGCAACAGCCCAACCCCGGCGAGGGGCAACGGCAACTGGCCCTGGAGGAACTACAGGCATTCGAAGCAGAAGAAGCGACAATGTTCAAGTATGAGCTATGTGGAAACGTACATTTTCGGCGAACTCACCCCGACCCAATTCTACGAAAAGGTCAAAGAGGGCCCGGTAAAGGGGAGGACGGCGATAAAGGCACTTAAAGACCCGATCATAGAGGAGGAGACGGATGATCCCGAACGTATACTCAACATCGTCTACGATAACTGGAGCGAACTGTGGAAAAGCCGACACTCAGACGATAGAGCGAGGAGGTAACTCCTCCGGGGTGTCCGACCTGAAACATTCAAGAAGAGACAGAGAAGAAATCTCGTAGCCGCGTTCCTCCGCAGAGAGGTGCGAGAAGCTTTACGGAAGGCGCAGTTAGGTCGTGCGCCCGGCCCCGACGGGCTTCCTATTGACCTGTACAAGCGTATTGCCAAAGGCTGGTATGGAATGATCAAGATCTTATCGTGGGTACTCAACGCGTTGCGGGACTTACGGCGTTTACCTGTGGATATGAAGCGGGGATGCCTAATACTCCTCTACAAGAAGGGTGACCCTACGGAGGTAACCAACTACCGACCAATCACGGTGATGGGCACTGATTACAAGCTGTTCACTCCCGTCCTGGCGACCCGGCTGGGAAATATACTCGGACGACTAATCGGGCCGGCCCAAACAGCCGACATTCGAGAACGGTACATTGGAGACAGCGTCAAACTGGTCCAAACAATTATTGATAAGGATGACGCGGATGGAGAAGAGTTGACCATTCTCTTTCTGGACCAAGAGAAGGGTTTCGACCGGGTCAGCCACGACTACATGTGGGAATGTTTAAAGGAACTCCGCCTCCCAAGGTTGTTCATCAAGTTGACCAAGGAACTCTACCGGGGGGCAGTGACTGTACCCTGGGTCAACGGCCACGAAGGTAGAGGCATTGCCATGCGCGGGGGAGTACGGCAGGGGTGACCCCCTGTCCCCCCCTCCACCTTCTGGCTATTGAACCACTTAACCGAAAGTTCAGCGGAGACGAAAGAATACAAGGCATCCCGATGACGATTGGATTACCTGCAACAAACGCGGCCTACGCCGACGATTTGGCCATCTTCGTCAACCATGTCTCAGGATTCATTCGTCGACCACACGGTTGCCTTCTGGCGTTGGTCGGAGTATTTTTCGCATATGGCGGGGCTCCATTGTGCCTCTCTCGATGGGTCTCACTGTTGTGTCGGAGCCTGATCAAGTAAGCATCAGGCTGGTAAGCATCAAGGTTTTAAGCATCAAGCAAGTAAGAAACTATGTAAGTAACCAATAAACTAAGTAAATTAAGTAAGTAGATAAACGATGAAGAAAGAGAACGCCTACCCAATACATCGATCCGTCCATTCAATTCTCCAACGGTGTCGTCGAGACAAAGACCATGACAGCCGGCCCTGCTCAGACCTAATACATCGGTCGAGCTCATCATGGCCCAGCTCTCGTACTTGTCGTTGCCCACCGCGTCGTGTCATCTATGCGTCGCTGACCGTATCTTGTAAACGGTTTCCTCTCAAAAATGGAAACCCAGAACAAAGGGAGAAGATGTTCTGTTTGGCTCCGCTCGGAATTATCATCAGGCTGTGCCCGTCTTCCTCTCCCTTCTCTTCCCGTAACTGCACAATCATGCGTGTGCGTGCGTAATCTGGTTTGATCTGGTCTGGTGTCATCACAGGCAGTTAGGCAGGCAGACTTGGTTTTATTGCACCTGCGCCCTCGTAGCACATTGCGCAGGCACAATGGTCACGTGACCGTCAAAGCACCTCGCTCCCACCAGGGCGCACAGTCATGTGCCATCACGTATATATATACGCCAAGGCCTTGGCAATACTAGACTGCGGGGACGCGAGTAGACAACTTTGTCTCAACAGATTGGCCTCTACTGGCACATTTCCTCCACCGTCACAACCCTCGCTCCTTCGGCCTGCGGCGGCTTACGCTGCACCTGTGGCGGGCCCTGCTTCCGCATCGGTGTGTATCTTCCCCTGTTTTGACGTCTGATAATGCGTCACAATTATCTAATGTGACGCCGCGACCGTCGTCCGATGACTTGTCTCTCAAAGTCGTCCTCCTATCGTGCAAAGCGATCACCCCCCTGCGAAGTCGATCCTATGCGGAATATGGAAGAAGCGGACCCGGCATACCTGATCTCGTCATGGAAGCCAAGGACATTGGTGACCCTTTGAGGATCATCAGGTCCCTGGAAGAGAATCAACATGCAGCGAGTGAAATATTAACCATTAACAACACTGTTTTCCGTCGCTGGATGACTCTCGTTGCGGTGAAGACCACGGCAAAGTTGTACACCCGGATAGGCTGCTGTTTTCGAATCACACCAAACAAGATCGTCAAAACCGGGCTAACCGTCCACCTGACCGAAGGGGCAACAGCCGCATTTGTCGCCCAGAACACATCCGTTCCGGTGCCAAAGATCTATTGTTGTTTCCTCCACAAGAACCGCGCTTACATCGTGATGGAGAGGATTCAAGGTGATAACCTGGCGAGGGTGTGGTCCATGTCGTGCAAAAAGCCTGGATTCGAACAGTTTCGCCGCAAAATCCTTGACCAGCTGAAGGGCGTGATACAAGAGTTGCGCTCGCTCCAACCACCTCCAGGCACTGGAGTTGAGAGTTACGCTGGCGGATAATTGTGCGACCCATTCAATCCCCGCTCTAGTCCTCGTTCCGGCCCATTCAAAACGATACAAGAGTTCCACCATTGGCTGAGGGAAGGATTTACTCTCGCACAAGCAGAAAGGCCAGGAGACAACCCAGAATTTCAAGAGATTCGAGAAATGATAGCTGCCCAGGACAAGTCATGGCCACCGCCAGTATTCACCCACGGCGACCTGAATCCATTCAACATCATGCTCCGTGGAGATCGAGTCGTTGGCCTGATTGACTGGGAATGTGCCGGATGGTACCCTTATTATTGGGAATATACCGCGGTATGGCTTGGTAGTGCGGCGAGGACAAGCTGGCGGGATGATATTGATTTGTTCCTTGAACCATTTCCCGACGAGCTGAAGATGGAGACTACGCGTCAGAGATGGTGGGGAGAATTCTAAGTGAGTGAGCCGTTTCAGATAGAAAGCACGCCTGGGACAAATCAAGCTAGAAATGAGCATCATTTCTTAGAATCAAATTATGAACCTGATCCCATCCCTTCACCGCTTGCGTGATGTCAGGACAACAAAGCGAACAGTTGTCTCGGCGTTCCCTAAGCCACCGCCTCCTTCTTCTTCAACATGTCCCAGGTCGGCTTCGGATTGTCCATTGGATTTCCAGCAGCAAAGCGACCCTGAGCTGTTTTCTCTCCTGCGTCATGCCTTGCTACCTCTTGAATTCGCGGCCAATCGAGCACTGCTGTTCCTAGGGCCTGGCTGTCACGGTCTCGACAAATGCCAAGTGTGGGATACCCCGCACAAGGCTGACTACCCCACACGAGGCTGAATATCTGTGAACTCTTCTACCGTGGATTGCGCGTTATTGCTAGTTAGACTCTTTCGTCTCAGAATTCATATCATAATTGCACCCTTAACAGCGATTCCTCCTGTCCAAGGTTGCGCCGTGATACTGTGCCCGAAGTGTATAGGACTTTATATTCCCGGACGGAACCAATGTTGTCATTCTCGAATTCGTCGAGGGTCAGCCTCTATCTAAAGTGTAGCCGACTTGCTCTCCACGGGAGAAGCTAAAAATTTGCGCACAACTTCGTAAGATTTTACAGAAGCTACGAGAGAAACGACAGACTTTCATTGGGCGGGATCTGAGACGCCGTGGCCATCGAAGCTCGCAGGTTCACACTTACGGCCGGGCCTTTCACCACCGAAGAGCAATTCAATGCCTTCCTCCGGTCTGATCTCTTACCAGCAGCGCGGCAAAGATTACCACTTGATGTTCGAGGAGATTATGAGCTCATACCACGACATTGTCCTCACACACGGCGACCACAACTGGCGCAATTTCATTGTCCATAACAATGAAATCAAGGCAGTGATCGACTAGGAATACCCGGGCTGGTACCCAGAGTATTGGCAATATGTCAAATTTTTCCACGGGCTGGACAAGTCAGACTTAGAGACACACGTCGACAAGAGCTTCCGGCAAGCATATCACCAAGAGCTCGCGACCGACCTTTTGTTGGGTCAGCTACTTCGCCATTGAGCTCCTTGAAAAGGGAGATGTCCATTATTACTCTCCCGGTACTTCAGAATCAGATGGGATCGTCTTCGGGGTATCATTATCGCACAGATGAGTATAAATCACCCTGTTCTCACGTCTTCAAGAAGTAACACGCTTTCAACAAGAAGAGCATCGCTTTTGGGGTATCGGAATTGCCCGAGATAGATCCCCGAATACCTCGATGCCTGTCACATCCACACCTTTCGACACCTGAGAGTCCCCCACTATGCTCAAGACACGAGATGCGCCCCTGCCAATAAAGGCAGGAAACTCTGTTCGAAACTGCATTGTCCCTTCGACTGACTTTGCGGCAAGCCAAAATGGCCACGTTGGAACAACTTGGGACCGCGTTGCATACAATAAATCCTCCCGGGGTTAGACCTAGACTCTGCCATGAGGTTCGCGGTATATGAATCAGCCATACGGGTCATTCCACAACTATCGCAGGATCCTACCCGATGTCAGCTCCTGGAGCTACGGGGAAATATCGAGCTCAGCCTCGAGAAGCACGGGGACATACCCACTCCGGACATCGGCCTATCGGAATTTGAGAACAAAGCCGTCTCTCCATTACAGGGATAACAGCAATCACTACAGCACCCGCACAGCCTCCAGAGGTCAATGACCTTTCTCTTCGGTCCTACCTTTCTCTTCGGTCCTACCTTTCTCTTCGGTCCTCATTACTCACTCAGCCTCAGCGGATGATGATCCATCAAGCCGACCGATTTTAGGCCCATAGCGCGAGGTGGGATCGACGACCAGTTGGACGTCGGAACTGGGAGCCGCGATAATCGACAGCATATCACTACGTGGCGCTGGGTCAGTTGGTTGCGCTCATGGCTAATGGTCCGCGGACCCCTAGCGCAGGCTTTGATGGCGCGATTAAGCCAAGAACCGACTACAGACATGGGAGCCAATGTTTGACGGATTGGCGGCCGAAGTTCGGCAAGAAGAACCAAGATTTGCAGAGTATCGGCCTGCTTCTCGGGGAAACGAAGCGCATTTATCGGAAGATGCCCGATTTGCCCGCAGCTACATACTCGACACCTCCTGAAGGGTGAGGAGGGATATGATGGCCATGACAGTGATGGACCCTCCGCGACCGCCTCAAGCCGGACGGCACCTGCGAACATGCTGCCGCATGGACCTGGATTCCGAGGAAAGGGACGTGGACCGAATGGTCCGGGATCTGATGAGGGAAGCTCGTCGACAGCAGAGGCTTAGTCGACTCGACAACGAGACCAGGGCCCTTATTGTTCAGGGTCGTATCTCAAAGGTCTTGTGTAAGAGGGTCCTTTGGATCAGTCCTCTCCTAAACCACGACAACAAGTACCAAGTTCACATCAAGAACTTAAAGTTGAGCAACTCATGGTGTTAGTTGACCGCATCTTCCACATTACCTACAACAATTCCTCCTGCGAAGTAGGCCTGAGCTATGGCTACACCTTTTTCAAGTGCGGTAAATGGGCATCTTTTTACAATCCGTATGATTATCCGACGTGTGAGGAAACGTCCTATCTGGTTGATATTTGGAGATGTCCATCAATCCTCTGGCGCGGATTTCATGTTCAAGCAACGAAAAACGTTTGTATTTTTGTGGTCGGCATCATTGTCGCCATTGCAGAAGTTGTCTTTTCCATCTCCTTGAACGAGTTTGGCTCAAATCTCTTACTTCGACGCTGATTGACGACCTTGGCAGGAAGGTGGGTCCTCCTTTGTCACCGTGTCCGGCCTGAAAAGCCTTAAATTTACCACTTGCAGAAATGCTCAAGGGGACGAGGTTCACTCGCCTAGTCCGGCTCTGTCCAAACCAATATTCCGGAGAACTAAGTCGATCTGCCTTGACAGAGCCTGTGTCACCGCTTTGTGCTTTAACAGCCGAGGAGGTGACATGGCAAAAAGCATGAGGTGTCCCCAGCGAGACAAGCTTTTCTTGAGTGGAGACAGTTGCCTCTCTGAGATGTTTATGACTCGACAAAATATTCGAGACAAAGAAAAAACAAGACGTCATTCCTACTTAGCTTTGTCAACAGTGGAGAACATTGCCCGTTTGGACATGTTTGTGACTCTGCGAAACCCTGAGACAAAGAAAGGACAAGAAACAAGGGACTCGGTCCCGAGAGGACAAGGATTTTTGTCAAGGATGTTTCCCTAATAGGATAAGACTTCTTACTAGTGCCATCCTTGGAAAGGGTGGGGAGACTTACTCGACGAAAAGATTGAAACAAAGAAGAGCCATGGCTTCAGCCCTGCACACACCCATTCCCAGGACCGGCTGCAGTCGCTGACTGTCTCGGACCTTGCCACCACACAGCCTGGTTCTCCATCCTACAATCTCCGCGGTTCTGCAGAGGCATGCTTGAATCCGCTTTTAGCTCATTTGATCGTGGTTTGGAATTGCAGCGAATCCCTTGATGACATTCCGCTGGTGACTGCGATACCAGATTCATGTAAGTAACCGCCAAAACTGAGGCTGCATACGTTCCTCGCGTCATGACAGAAGTGGCATGCGAGTCCAAACCTTTTGGCGCGAAGCAAACACTTGTCCTCAGCCTCGATGGGCAGTAGCCAAATTCTGAAAATGCAGGCGAAGACTAAGCGCCCTGTCAACGGTTCAGCTATGGCCACTCAGTGGGAATGTAGTCGTGTCTTTTATCTATCTCGAATATTTTGTTCAATCACAAAGGGGGGAATCAAACTCCTTTTGTTGAGCCATAAATATACCTAAAGAGGTAAACATTTCTCTACTTGTGGTAAGGGCTGGGGAATCAAACCCTTTTTGTCAAGATACAAATCTATCAAAAGAGGTAACTTTCGACAAAAGGAGGAATGAAGTCATATCTTTGTTTCTCAGGGTTTGGCCTTCGTCAACTCATAAACATACCTACAGAGGCAACTATCTCCACTCTTGGAGAGGCTAGTCCTACTAGGGGTGCTTGCTTGCTTTTCGTTGCCCTCGTCTTCAGCTTTGTCGAGTCACAAAACCACCCAAAGAGACATCTTCGAAGGGGAGCCAACGGATGAAGTGGGAGGACATTGCTTGATAGCTGGTCATGAGCCAGTGTTCAATGAATCGATTCCAGGGGAACGTAAAGGTCCCTTGCATACATCCTCATGCAGAATGGCTGCGCCTTTCTCCTTACATGTGGACGAATTGAACACATGTCTGGCTCGTGTTTGACGTTAAATGCTCAGCCGAGTGGTATAGAGTCCCGAAGTCGAGTTGCCAATGGTCCTGCACCCTCAGAGTCTTTGACCAGCGTTCGCCTTGCCGTAGACTAATTTGACCTACTTCGAGAACTGTTTCTCGTCCTATTGTTCCCATATGCACTCGAAATCTTCATCGATCGACTCGGTGGTTTATATCGATTCTCTGACACATAACAACAGTGTTAGCTTTGCATGTGTATCACGGAGGCATTCACATACTCAGCTTGTCAGCGCCCTGTTGGAGGATACCGTA